CGAATCACCTCAATAGTATCATTCGAGTGACTTTAATGCCACTCTAGTAACTGCTGAAATAACCAATTACAGTACTCTATTCTATAGAAATCTACTTCTCCAGCCGAAATTGGTTGGTAGTTTCAGCAGTTGCTATGGTGACCTTTAAAGTCACTCTAGCATTCATCGAAGGTGCAAGGCCAATTTAGAAGAGTTGGAAGTTTGTGACTGGACTTAACAATACTATAAGCAAGTTTATAAATAAAAATAATGGATACACAATATAGTCTATGTTCAATCGCCTCGTAGAAATGCGTCATTGAAGTAGTCTTCCAATAGCTTTTAAGCCATCGTAAAGCAGTAATCAAGATCTTTTACTAACTTTTATCGAAGTCTTAACTATACACGAGAGTTTTAACCCTCCATCTTTTGTGTTCAAGGTCGATTTAAATTTAGTTGATACCTTTTCTGTTTATCTCATAATATTTGCGTGTGAAAAGGTTTCCACCTGAGTTTTTAAGTAGTGAAGCAGAAGTGATATTTGACTACTATACTGTGTCATTTTTGGGAGGTATTTATACTCCACTTACTCGACTAAACCTTGTTATTTATTTTTCAATCCATAGTATTCCAATATAACCTGTTCACATTGGTTTATAAATTATTTACACTTCCTATTATATTGTGTATAGATAACTTCAGATATATATTCACCTATTACTAATTTTTCCATCCGTTAAATTGTCAAGTGTTTTGATAGATTTTAACAAAGATATTGTGATAACGATAACATGGAATCCTTACTGACGTATTTTATTTCATTATATACATCAGTGAATTGTTTTTGAAATATGTTGGCTACAATTAACTAACTGGTTACCAGTTTGACAATGCATATTGTTCACTAACAACCATAATGGTAATGATCATAATGCATACTCATTCAAAATCAATGTTCTATTAAATTCATATAAAACAGTCACTGTTTGTCTTGAAACCAACTAGTCTCATTTCAAAAAGATTTATGTCACCGCTGGAAAATTACCTTGGAAAGTCTTAAAAATCAAGGGAAACTTGATAGATTTTCCTTGTTGTTGCACATTCTTCATGATTTCATACAGAATAACATCAAATAGCTGTAACAGGATCAATAGAACTCAGTCAATAATCAGGATTAAACAATTTGAAATTGGTTACCCTTCAGTGACCTATCAATGTATCTAATCTTGTTCAATACTAGGTCTACAGTGACCCGATTAGTTCAGCGGTTAACGTCTATGACTGTAGCATCGGACGGCGAGGGTTCGAAACTCACAGGGGATATCAGTTCTGTCGAGACCGCAGATACATCTTTCTAATGAGTGTCAACAAGTATAAAACTTAGGTACACGGTTTTCCGTCAATAGCCTCCACCTAACTAACATCTACAACAGGATCAACTAAGTCGAAATTCAGGCTGATTGCAAATCGATCACATTAAATTATGGTCGTTGTGTATTGCAAACTGATTAAAGTGATGAAAAGCAGTTGCTAAATGGTAAGATTATCCATGAGCAGGTTTCATAACCTCTGGTTCAGAAGGTATGTTTTCAGCCTCAAGTAAATTAATGTGCTGAGAGATTCAGCTTTGTAGACATATGCCACCTATTTGGTACCAATATTATTTTTCTTGGTTGGATAATATATACAAATGTGTTACTAAATGATCACTTGTCTCAATCTTTGTATCTCTTCATCCTCTGACACTATGCACAACTAACTACGCTATCTCAAACCCAAGTACGTTGGTCGGCACTATGCGAGTTAGCAGTCCGTGACCTATGTACAGAAAAAGGTGGTATATATTGTTAACTCCTCAGAAAGGAGTAGCTAATGTTTCAGAGAAATTCTTATAAGCTTCCCTAATATGTTATTATTATTTGTACCTTGGGTTCCTAGTCGAACATAGGGCTTCAGTAACACGTCTCCATTCCACTCTCTTCTCTGAAATCTTTTGAATCTGGCACAACCACTGCCCACAAGCTCTCATTTCTTCCTCACATGATCTCCTCCATGTCACCCTCACCTCAGACACCCAACTCGTCGTTTCCCATCTGGGTTCCACTCGAGTTCCTGGCCTGGAGCCTGATGTCCCCAGTCGGTCTTCTCAGTGTATGCCCAATCCAATCCACATCCACTTCCTTTGCATATTTGTTGAGCGATAGGTTGTTGGTTGGTTCGTTGCCACCCAGCCAGCCAGAGTTCCTCGTTGCTTATTCTTTCTGGCCATCTGAGCTTCAGTAACAAGCCAGCGTAAGCAGTTGTTGATAACTATCTGTAGATTGTTCGAAATGCTTTTCGTGAAGCGCCAAGTTTTTGAACCACATAGAAGCACTGACTTGACTGAATTAGTGTTGAAAATCCGGGTCTTGTTCTTCATACCTTTGATCCTCCTGTGGGCATCATGATAGCCACTCCCTCACTGTGCTCATGGTTGTTGTCTGGGTGACCGGAGTAGATTACTGACTCTCCAATTGACAGTCTGGAGAGTCCACTTCCATTCCATCTGAAGATTCCTAGCACTTCTATGCTACACCTTCTCATCTTTTTGGCAATCTGGACAGCCTTATCAGGTTCAAACATAGTGTGGACATTCCATGTCCCTATGTTTACTCTCACTTTTATCGAGAGAAGACACATTGACCAATTGGCTTCTCAAAGGCTTTCACCAACCGGCGTCATTTCGTCTCCATGATTCCAGCGAGGAATAAGTTTGTTTTTATTTTCTACATTTTGTATGTGCTTTAAAGTATTTGTAGCGACTGGATTGGTTTTCCGGGGTGGGATTGCTAGCCCTATATCCAACCTTCCCTCTTTATCCGGGCTCAGGACCGGCTAGTAACTAGTGAACTAGTTAACCAGGCGAGGTTTCTCTAATATATTGGTTGAGGACTTTTTCATGAGGTTTTGAGCGGTTCCTTATTGAAATCTCTTAAGTTCATGCCTATTATCATATTCTCGTGCTGTCTGAAGCACTAAACAAATCAAAAATCTTAAGAGATTTGAATTTTTTTTCAGAATTATATGTGAATCTCAGAGGTCAAAATCACTGAAAATCGACTGCAATTCCCAAAATATCCTGTCTTAGTACACAGGCTAAATCAAATGAACCAGTACTTAAATGAAATTTCATTCGTAAAAAGAACTTGGCAATTCATAATCAACACAGTTGTTTGAAGTGCTAAAAAACTGAGAAATTTGTATCCTTTACTCTGGAAGATATGTGTACACAAAATGAATGGTATATAGACAGGTATTCATGAGAATTCAAGCATTCAGTTAACTTTATTATAATTCTTTCCTTAAAAATGAACTTGAATAAAGCAAGAAGGACAATAGTAGCAGAATAAGGATTCATGTGTTTCGTGGATCTTCCTCAGTTATTTTATAACCTATAGATCATATAATGTTCATGATGAATAATTTTTTATACAATAATTCGACAGAATCTTATACGACTTGAGATAGGTGACAAAGATTCAGGTTAACCAACAATAATGTTGTTAAGGCTAGTCAAACGTTAACTATTTATACAATATCACAGCTATCTCAGATAGTCAAAATGATCATATTTAAACAATGATAGAATAAACATTCAATCTATTTCAAAACCTATTCTCACTTTCTGAGTTATATTCATCTTATTTCTCAATTTTATGAAGATCTGTTGACCTTTTAGTACGTTTACTTTTTACTAATTCTAGAATACCACTGTCCACAATCCCCTACTATTTATACATATTTATGGACATGATAGTAATGATGGGACATGGCTATCCATCATCACTATCATAAGAGAACAAGTTATATCGAGGCATCCTTACAGGATCCAATATGCCAATAGAGACCGATCAATACGGTCCAATCAACCACCGTATGATATGAAAACATTTGTACTAAAAACTATACCTGTCTCACAAGAAGTGGCTATCGTGGCTCGGTGGTGTAGTGGATAACCCTCTGGCATTTGAGGCGATCACTCCCGAGTCCGAATCCCGATAGGAACAACACCACTCACCGGGAAGCAGGTACATCCAGCTGACGGGTCTCAAATAGGACGAAATACTCATCCTGAATTCAACCACTAGCCACTATCCATCATTACTACCATTAGAGCAACGGTAATATCGATTCATTCGCACGGGATCCCATATGTCACTAGAGACCGATCAATTCGGTCCAATCAACAACGGCATGATATAAAAACAATCATATACTAAAATTTATAGACATTATTGTTTTTTCGATGTTCTCTCAAACGTTTATTCTATCACTCTACAGATAGTTAACCTTCGACTATTCTTAACAACTTCATCAATGTTGGTCAACCTGAATCTTTGTTACCTTCCATCTCAATTTGTATAAGATTTTATCAATTTATTAAAGGACCTTGTATAACATATTGTTCATCATAAACATAATATAATCTATAGGTTGTAAAGCAGCTGAAAAGAATTCAAGAAACACATCCATACTAATTTTGCTTTGTTGCCAATTTTTAATACACTAAATGGTATTGAGTCTAGTGGGTTGAATAGCACTTTGCTATGAAATATGTAACCGTACTGTCAGATAATAGTTGCCTTAAGGTTACAGTTCAAGTTATCAAGTGCTTACAAAAATTCTTGATACTCCAAGCACGCACACATGGACATGGACATCCAAACTGAAAGATATTCTTTTTTGAGATAAATGGGGACTTTTTTTTATTTAGAGGCAGTATTCATTCTTCGTGAAACCTGAAGGTCGTGAGTTGGATCTCTAGTCGGGTCGTGGGTGCATACTGCCGAGGAGTCCTATACTAGGATGAAATAACTGTTCAGTGCTTCCAGATTTTCAATGGTTCCCCAACTGATGTCAGTCTGGTAACAAAGTTTAACATTACGAAGCAATTAGAAATTTAATGTTTCAGCATATCGATGATTTGAATAGTTGACTGAACATTGAATTGTTGATTTATTTACTTATTAAAATGAATATAGATAATTTGTGCAAATGATATGCAAAGTCCAAGACCATTGGAAGGATTTGGTTTTTCACTTGGATTAAATGGTGCTGATCTAGATGATAATGGTTATCCAGATATGGCGATTGGAGCCACTATGTCAAGTTCAGTTGCTGTTTTGCGTACAAGACCTGTTGTCAGGTAACTGTTAAAATGCTTTTAAAATACTTTGTAATTAATTAATCAGCTAATTAGTGTTTCCTTAAACTGTTAGATAAAATGATAGTTAAATAATTCAAAATATGTCTATAATTCTATCAGCCTATAACCTGTGGGCCTTTGATTGATAAATGGTTTCAATATAAAACTTAACATTGAATATAAATATTCAAGGTTAAGGGAGGTAACTAGTATTTGTATTGAATAGTTTTATGTCACAACTTTAGGTACAATTAGACGTTATTATTCTAATCTTCAGTTGTGAATATTACTCACTGCACCTTGCTTATAATGAGCTGTAGCAGCGGTCTTTTTCTTGTTAAGTGAGTATTAACTCACATTTTTGTGAGCATAAAGAATGCTGTAATCTTATGACTGGCATACCTAATACCTAATAACGGTTACTTAGAGCTAAAACGGTATTCTTGGTAGAAATTAGGCTAGAATCATTCAATAAATCTATTAGAATGTGATTCAAAAAATATACATAAACTTACATATGGATCATGCAACAAACTGTGAGGAGCGAGAAGCGGAGGATTTGCTGTTTTACAGGTGAAAAGACCCTAGAAAATTTGGATTCTTCGCATGACAACTTATGTCTAATGTCTGATGTCGCATAAAATCGAAGATGTAGAGGCGAAAATCAAGAAGTTGGAAGAAGAGGCAGGGCAACGAAGATGAGACTTCCTTCAGGTGAACTTAGAGAAGACAGTAATGAAGATGCCTGAAGATGTCTAACCACCACCAACAACAACAAGCATCAATGACCATGACCGAGAGAAATCTGAAGGAGGTTGTCTATTTAGCCTACCTACCTACCTACCTACCTACCTACCTGCCTACCTACCTACCTACCTACCTACCTACCTACCCACACACCTACGCACCTACGTACCTAGGCAGCATCGTTTGAAATACAGGCAGTGATGGTGGTAGCACAGATGAAGATATCAAAGCCAGATTCACAAAGACAGAAACACAGGCTTTCCTTTATTCATGTGAAATCAGTGTGGAGATCTACTGCACTGCACTACACTGCACTCCACTGTACTACACTCAGCATAAAGCATGAACAACATGCGGATTCTCAACACTAGTGTCAGTCATGTCAGTGCCTCCTTGTGATGGTTGAGAGACTTGGTGTGTTACGGAAAGCATTTCCAACAAACTATAGACATTGATCACATCAATAGCTGCTGTCTACACTCCCTCAATACTGAAGATCAAATAGGTGGTCAGAATAATGATAATAAGCAACGATGAACTCTGACTGACTGACTGACTGACTGACTGACTGACTGACTGACTGACTGACTGACTGACTGACTGACTGACTGACTGACTGACTGACTGACTGACTGACTGACTGACTGACTGACTGACTGACTGACTGGTTAGCTAGCTAGCTGTCAACGAAACAAGAACCTATCACCCAACAAATATGCAGATGAAGGAAGTGGAGATGGATTTGATTTGATTGTACATACAGTGAGAAGACCATTTTGGTACACCACACGTGAGGTTCTCGAGTGGAATGGAAATGAGGAAGGATGAGTTGTATGTGTGAGGTGAGGGTGATAAGGAGGATATTGTGTGAGGAGGAGGAGATGAAGGGTTGTTGGCAGTGGTTGATTTAGGTTGAAAAGACTGTGGATAAGAAAGTGAAATGTCGACGTTCTACTGAAGCTCTATGTTCCACTAGGAACCTGAAGTACAAATACAAATTGAAAATTTAGACCGATCCAAAAAATGCCATGCATTAACTTATATGTTCCTAATTACGTATGATCCTTTGCTTCCTATTAACCATGTGATAAAACCCACAGAATTTTTGCGCACTTAGTGTGAATTATCATAGAGTAATTTGTTTCTGTGAAGAATTCGCAAGGGGATGTAATCTCTTCATCAGCTCAACTTTGTTAACTACATCTTCTGTTATGTATTTCGTGGCTACTGGGGTGATTTTATTTCTAAGATGGTATTCATTATTGACTGACGTCAGTTGAAGAACCACTGGAAACCTGGGGGCACTAGATAGCTGTTTCGTTGTAGTATGGGAGTTCTCAGCATTACGCACCCACTGCCTGGCCGCGCCATGGACTGAACTCAGGATCATCAAGTTTCAAGGCGAACTCTTTAACTATTCAGCTATTGGATCAGAGTTCACAGTTTCTTACTTTCGTCAATTCGTGAAATAGTGGGATTATCAACCAAGGTCATTAGTTAGCATCCACTTCCCTTCGGACTGGTTGATTTCTCACGCTATGGTTCTCATTAGAACTTCGGGATATCCATCACTAGTGAACATTGTACAGTCATGTATTTAAGGGTTAGTAGAGATTTTTTTTCGTTACGGTAGTACTTATCGTGGATGTTGCGGTCTTGAGTTCTATCCTTGGTGGAGTAGCTGCTGCTTACTACTGAGGAGTCCTATACGAGGATGAGACAGCTGTAGAATGCTCTAAGGTTTTCAACAGTCCCCTATGCTGATATCTATTGTTTTTAGCTTCAAAACTGCTCTCATAATTACAGGAATAAATCTGCATTCACAGAAATTCATTTTTTTAGCGTATGATATTAGTTTGACCTAAAGGTGTTTAAGCTCATTGTATAAAAGGTGTTTTAATGTTAACATAGAGAGGCGTATCATATTGATGTACTCATCTCACTATCAAACAGTATAAAGAAGGTATGTGAAACAGATTAGTATAGAATAATAGATTCAGGTTTCCCAACGATACAGTCAGTGAATTTATGCATTCATGTATTGGTTAGCCGACCATCTCTTCTTAAATCTTCAATCAGTGATATCTCATATCACCATATGGCTTGTATCAATAACCATTGACTCTAAATGTTAATAACGTCTGACAACATTGAGTGTATTGTGATGCATTACGGTTAAACTTTTCAAAATAATTTACTGTACAATTCGCTTATTCTGTTACAAAAGTGTATAGCATAGTAGAAATTAGTTGATTATGTTTCCATTCAACATATAAACTGAATTACATAAATGATAGTGACTTGTAAAATAGTTACTTTGAATCCTAAAAGAACTATTTATTTCAGTGTGAAATAAGTAGTAGTTCGAATACAGCAAACTAGTCATACGATGGTAGACAAACTGTCAATGATAGTGGGATTTTATGATTCAAGATCATTAGTTTCCTATTTCGACATTAACTGTCACAACAGTATTGGACATGCAGCCACTTTCTAACAACTATGATTATATATTTCGTCAATAAGTTTACATCGTAGATGTTTTGTTCGTAACCTCTGTTGATGAATTTGATATGACCTTGTGGTCTTCCTCTGATTGGCTGATAGATTAGGCACACTTAAAATGGACTTAAAATCTCAAGCAATTAACTTTATTATTCATATATGGTAGCCTAAGATATGGTTAGAATTTATCCTATAGTTGAATAAAAATTTGACTTTTTATAGTAATTGTGGAAGGAAAAAGCTGAAAAGAAAAAACTTTTTTATTATACACTTGATTAATGTATATGGCGACAAAAATTTAATTGTATGGATTTTATGAGCCTTTTTGTCAAAAATGACAGTTACATTACAATATAGATAGAGAAATTGAAGCAATAAATTTATTTTACGCAGTTGATGTTTCATCCTATTAAGGTCGACTGAATTGTTCAATCCTAAGATTACTGATCGACAAAACTCTTTTAAGCAAATTACTATTCCTTGTAATATCTGCTCTATGTGAAGATATCCTATGACGTGAAGTAGTTGATGGAATTTATGAGGATGAATTCTTCAAACTTTCTTTGTAACTCTACTGGCACATTCCATTTTAGTCTGTTTACTAGCTGTGTCACACAGTGAAACAGGTCAATCTACTGGATGATAATGTTTCGGACACAACTTATTATTCTATACATTAATATCACGTAACTCCACAACTTTGAGATATGATCAACATAGTTCTAATCCCCTCACCTCCTTTGTGAAGACCGTAGTAGAATTTTACGTTTATCTGGGTTATACGCCGAATCAACAGTGTTGCATGTATTTAGCGTTGATTCGCTAGACAAGGATTCAGTAATCAATCTCTACATCCACCGAACAAAGTTGGTTTTCAATACTGTTGCTCTGTTCCATTCAATTGTGTGATTGTGTGTTACTGCATGCATAGTTATAGTCGAGGTTTTCCAGATTCCTGATCTTATTTGGGATCTACTAATCTTGATGTAGCTAATTTTTTGTACTGTGTTACTCTAATTGACTCTGATCGACTACGTTCACCTATGAATTCGACGTGGTAATCATTGCAAGGGATTTAGTGAACTGAATTATTTTGCCTAATTAACTGAATCAGTAGGATTTCTCAACCTACATTGTTTGTTTGTGAGCAAGTTTGTCGGTTTGAAGGCCATTCCATTCGCAGCCTCATTTTGAAGTCTTGGTAACACTATCAAAGTGTCTTCTTTGAATGGTGATACAGTAGAGGCTTTGGATTCTATCTCCACCTTGTCAGAGTTGTTGCTACCACTATATTTAACAGGTGTGTTACTACTACTGCTGATATGTTTCTAGTGGTTTCTTATGAATTAGTCGATGAATCGAGGTGAATAATCACCGAGATGCAAGATATTCGTGATGTGTCTAATTTCTTGTCTCAGATTCTCTATCTTACTAGCAAGTCTTTCGGTGAATAACGTAGACATTTAGCGTAGTCTACTTTAACTGAGATAGGATGAGATAATTTGAAGCCGCATAAATGGAAAAGCTTCTCATTGGAATCGTACTTATGTCAAAGAAGGTGATATAATTGGAGCTTCATAAGCCATGTTTGGAAGTTGTGGAGTTACCAGATATGAATGTGGACAATTATAAATTATGTCCGAAATGTGTTGGTCCAGGAAATAGTATTGTGACACATCTGATAATCAGAGTAAAATGTAATTACAAACTACCACAGTTCCTGAGTTATACGCCTAAATTACCAGCATATCCCTGAAACATCTAGCTTTAACACTGCCGATTCGAAGATGCTCTTATCTATACAATCTTACTCACTAAAATTAGTCCGACAACTAAATTTGTTTAAGATATTTCAAGTCATAATCAATCGAAAGCTTCTCCTTTCTAATTCACTTCGCTTTGGTTTGAAATGATTAAACTAAACTGATTGTAGTGATAAAAAAAGCATTCAATGTTGATTGATTATCAAATTTGATATGTTGTCAATAATTTCATCTAGTGATTTAACCGACAGATTACCAAGCAAGTAATACACAGGCCGTGGGTTTCAATCATGCAATAGACAAAGTCTTTCTGTATCGAATATCATTATCTCATAAAATATGTTCTTTAAAAATCTAAATTGATGATTATTGAATCCTTAATGTATACTGATGCTTCCTTCATCTCCTTTATTTCAGATTTAATGCATACTTGACGTTGATGGATGGTAGTACTATTCTGCCAACTTCATTAAATTCTCTAATTGATTGTACTAATGAAGCTCAACTGATTACTGGCTATAAAACATCATCTGCTAAATGTGTTGACATGAAATTGATATTGACGTATACTAGTGTTGATAAGTAAGTATCAATTTTGGTGTATTATATTCCTCTATTGATGAAGAAAATGTTAATATGTGTGTGTTGAATGTTTTTTTTCCATTTTCTATATCTTAGACTTTTTATTATTACAGTATCTAAATACTTAATTCACGTAGTTCCCTTCTTAAAGTCCATTTGATGATGAATAGGTTTGGTTAAATCCCATCTATAACAGATGAAACATTGTTCGCAGTAAATTGTCCTCCAAGATGTGGAGTTGTAGCTTATTGAGAGTTAACTTTCAACCAGTCAGCTAGGGGTTTGAATACCGCTCCACCTATCAAGGTTAAGACAGCCATGTATTATTCTTTACCTTGACACAATAGGTGTGGCTCATTGCCTATTGCACAAATGTACACGAGATTGTTGGGTGGATTTCGATTTTTCATTTCTTTTGAGCTAGGGTTTTAGCCGGTAAACATAGCGGTATCCTGCTAGACGTTGTCATCATTTCATCACAGAGCTTTACAAGGAATGTTCATCACAAACGAATCTTTGTTCATAAGAAACGAATTAACTGAAAGATTTAAGGCGAAGTTATTTCCTTCCACTTTGATTATTAATTCATTGTGGTTTTATTTGAAATAAACTCAAAGTTGTAGAATTTAAGGTAAGATTCATTAGGTTACAAATAGTTGGCTCACTGAGTTGAACGTACCCACCTGAATCTTGAATAAGAAACGTTTGATCACGTATAACTGACATGTAACACAGTAAGACATATAGAAGTTGTCCTACCATTCAAGGGGTTAATCTTTGGATAACACTTTTGTAGTTTTAAGGTTTCTTCTTAGCAAAATTTCATTACGGAGTAATGCAAGAGTTATGAACACCAAAAATATCGTAGACAGTACCTATATATTTCGTTTTGGCTAGTAAACTGCTAGGTCGCATTACCGATCATAGCAAAAATTTAGTGAAAATGGTTCACAATAAGAATAAATTGTCCAAGTAACTTGATGAGGAAAGTAAACATGGCATGAAAAGTGAATCACTCGAGTTTATTCAGAAGAAAAAGAAGAAGGAATGGGTAACCACTAACGATGTATGGAGAAAATATTTTGGCAAGACATTTTGGATTAAAATTTTCCATAAACATAAAGTTATATCTAGATTCCTCTAGCTTTCTTTCAATCTAGCATTGAAGAGTCTTGAAAGGAGGTGTGCAAATTAGAACTCAACCTTCTAACGAGACTATTACGATAGGTGAGAACGTACTGACTTAACCAATGACACCTGTCATTATGAGACTCATTTTAAATGCAGCTTGCGAGAGAAATTTTGTCACTATACTCCTATTAGTTATCAAGTTGTTTGTCTTTAAAACAAGTTCTCCTGATAACCTAATAAAAAAAATAAAAGTAAATTACAATGGATAAAACAAAACAAACCCTTAGGTATTGTCGCCAACAATTTTTTGAACTCCGTGCCACTTCTTAACATAGACGATGATTTTCAATTATCTAAAAAGTACGAAAAGCCGATATCTATCTACGTCTATCGTTAACACTTATAAATGTATAAACAAGTCCTAAAATTAGTTTGTAATAAAATTTTCAAAATATTGTATTCAATCTATTGGAGGCGTTTATGTCTAGTTTAGGTTAATAACTATCTATACAGAAATATAAGCTTGCCGTATCTATTCAGAAACATTCTCTTTTTACCCTAAACTCCTCTTGTTAATCTTAATTTCGATCTAAAGATGAAAGTTAGTGTAGAATGATGTAAACAGAATGTTATCCTTCTTTTATTGACTGTTCCTTAAAGTAACATTTCTGATTAATTTAGCCAGTGTTATTTGACCTTATTTCATTTACCTAAAAATGACCTTTTAGGTAGAATCAAATTGTTCGACATATATCGCAGTAATATATATGTATAACACACTTCAGATGAACTTCGTCCGTTTTCATTCCACAGTCTAAACATAATAAAAAATGCTAAGTCTTTAAAAATGGCTATTATAATAAAAAATCTCAGTTTTTAGAGCATCGGGCCAGAAACTCGGTGGTGGGTGGTTCGAATCCGGCCATAGTTCAAATTTCCACTTCACCTTCAATCATCACCCAATATGAATTAAAAAACCATTTGAGTAAACAAAGAATATTCTTTTCGATAACTTTTTCTCTTCCAGTTCCTACAGTTATTTGTATACATTGAAGAATTATGCATCGACAGTATTGAAATTTCGATTATCAGTTTGTCATGCAGTTGAAGAAGTTAATTCAGAATCAATTATTGCTGGGATACAGTTCAAAATAAGTGATTATCTAAACGAGTATACAACATAGGTAATACTATAAGGTGTTAGTTTAATAAAACAACAGGAAGGTATTAATGAGAACTGAATTGAATAAACTGGGAAGGATGATTTGAGGAATAATAGCTCGATAGATTATTACTCATGCTGGGAGACAAAATAGGTTAAGAGAAAGTGTTTAAAATGTTTCAGATTATTGGGATGAAAGGATTTACAAAGTATAAGAATAGACAATTAAACTACTTGGAGTATGATGCTAAGGACTTTTTGCCCCCAGAATCAGACCACGGTAGTTGTAGCGGCCACACTTGCCTGGATCCTGATTGCTACTGGTTCTGCACTCTAAATGGTTCGGAGTCGGGTACCTATTGACAAGTTGGTAGGAACCCAGTACAGGACGGTAAATGACTTATGCGTATCAGTCTTAGGGTTTGTTTCAGCCTGATGTACCAATATAGAGCTGATAAAGTCTTTACCACACCTCTACTTAACCACACAGGGAGGTATTCATCAGAACGGAAAATGAAATCCCAAAGCAGCAGCGTCAATATGTAAATATAAAACTGTAGAACCTGAAGAAGAAGTTATCGTTAAGTAGAGAACCTTTGTCCAAGCTAACCTGTCAACTGGTGGCTTGTAGTCTCCGCATATGTCGTATATGAGTGTTTTATTTCTTTGAATTACAAGTTGAGCTTCAAGGTTTTTTACGTCAGTTGTCTGGTCTTGTGATTGATCAGTCCTCAACCATATCATATCATCAGTTTAACTAATCAATAAAAAAATGCTTAGGGTTCATCTGTCCATTGAATCAGCTCTCATATTTGGTTTACTTAATTGTAAAGAACATAAAGATGCTCGTTGGTCGTATCTGTTCTCACATTAATAATAACCATTTACTGGATTTCCATCTGATCTTGATTATCATCTTAATTTCCAATTTTTTTCACTCCCAAAGCACCTTATTTTCTGAAAAACGTATCTGTCCGTTCTCACTTGAGGTAATCGATAAGAAGCTCTGGACCTAATTATTGTGTTTCTTGGGATTTGCCTGTATGAAACCTATCTGCAGCCTTGATAGAACTGGTGCACATCAGATAATCAAATCTAGGATGACCTTAAAGGCCACTCAAGCAGCAAATAAAATAACCAATCAGACTACTGTATTTTGTGAAGATCTACCTTTATAGCTGAAATGAAGAAACCTAATTGGTTATCTTGATGGTTGTTAGGGTGGCCTTTAAAGTTGCCTCAAACATGCATCAAATGGATTTAACTAACTTACTAGTGACGTCCTTCTTTGTTACATTGAATGATATCAGTACGATTCTCTGACAATTATCAGTTCCAAACACTGATTGGTCACAAAAGAGCAGTCAATTTCATACTATGTAGTCCTGAGTGCTGACCTAATTCTATCGATCATTTTAAAGTGTGACCACTAAGCTAAACGGTTCAGCAGCATAGTGCATATTGATAGATACTGGTTGCTTGGAGGCAATCAATGTATGTAATCCAGTCAAGCAGGAGATCAATCACTGCCCGAATAACTCAGTGGTAACACTGCTGGCAACAAGACTGAGTAATGTGGGTTGGAATCTCAAAGGACACATCAGTTCCCTCAAGGTTACAGATACACCTTACTGACGAGTATGATAAAGCCCGAAATCCCAGTCAAGCAGAGCGTTCTGCAGATTGCCTCCAATTGACTAACAGTTATCAGTTCCCACAAGCTTTCAGATTCAAATTTCTGATGAATTACAGATAGTGTGAAAATTAGGTCCACTGCTCTCCTACCAATGGCCTAGAATCATCAAATATTGTTGAACAAAGTGTGCAACAATGGAAGTCTTCTGTCGCAATTGTCGTATAAAAATCTTTGATTTAGACAAAATGGTTGGCCTTTACAACCAGACAACACGTCATTGGTTGATCTCAGGTAACGAATTAATGAAAGCATACTTCTAAACTATTTCTCATAGCTTTTCCTTTTTTGTCCTGTTAAATATGGATCCCTTCGATGGATTGCAATTACTTAAACTTTGATAAACACTAATTTTTTTATACTCAACCAATTTAATTTCAATAACAGTCAGTTTATATCAATCTTTTCTGTATTAAACAGTAAACTATGTGATCAACGTAAATATTATCCAGTTTCAATTCTATTGAAATACGATCCAACTACTGAATGGCTTTCAGAAGGTTGGGAATTCGTTAACACACAAATTTCACAAGATTCTATTCATTATTCAAGTAAATGTATGATAAGTCAAAAGTCAAATACAATATCACAGAATATTATGAAAGAATTTTATAAAAATTATACTTTATCTCCAATTGTTTTTATGCGAGAGAAAAGTTTACGTGATATTGAACCGATTGTTAAAGATTACTTTAAACGTAATGAATCTGCTTATTTGTCTGGATTTGATAGTCCTGGGGGTTATTTACAAATTGATGGTAGTGCTTTCTGTCGAGATCCTATCAAAGGTAAAACTAATCAACCCTTCAGTCATGATGAATTGAATTTAGCTACTACATTTCGAATTATATTTCGAGTGAGTTTATTCTTGTAAAATATAATCCACCTAATAATAATAATAATCATTTTATTCCGAACAATGTTTTGCTACAATTAGAGATTTTCAGTATGGCATATTGCAATGATATTTATATATATATATATATATATATATATATATATATATATATATATATATATATATGGCTTAGAATGGATGTCAGCTGCGCAGATGCATGCATACATTATCGTCATGTTAACCGCTATACTTCATCTCATCATTTTTCAATTCTTCCTTTGTCTCTTATACTACTTTCTACGTCTACTTCCTCTGACTGATTTTTCTTTCCTTCTTCATCTATCATTTTACTGCCCTATTGTTACTCGATTTACTGATATGAAGTGTGGCAACTTGGACCATTATGCAGTAATGCATGGTCTTATGTTGGTCTTAATGATATATATTGTACTCCTTTACAACATTCCGAATAGTTTTAATATAAAAATTTATAAAAAGAATAATAATGATAACGGGAAATATTTTGTATTGTTAGTTAAACTATTGGTCAGAGATTATTTATAATTTCAAAGATGATAAGTGGGTTTTGTAATTTCCGGAATAGTCATATGCTTGACAGCCCGTTACTATCCACTATGGTACTTTTTAGTAATTTAGCTATAAACTTATAGAGCAATAGATTGTAAGGATTTTAAAAATGCACGAGGATATGTCATACAATTAGGTAGCATAAGTGAATGATTAAAACAATGTACAAAGGAGGAAATTGATTCAGTCTATAGTATGGTAAAATAAGGTAGCCCAAAGTTCAAACATAAGTATATATTGAATAAAAATTTCACCAATGAAACTTTTTTTGGACAATTCTGGACTCATTTGCATGGACGACATATATATATCGGTATTATATCATAGCACCTAGCATTGAACAGAAATTCATAATTGTTTTCTGTTGTATTCATAACCGATCGGTTTGATATACCTCCATCCAAGGGAGTGTTAGTGTTCTCATCAAGACTTGAGAGCATGTTTGACTATTTCAAAGAAATGAGCGTCTTCTGATAAGCTTCTGAGATTCAATAGTTTCCTTTTCAATAAATATTAAAGCTTAACTGCAGAAACTACAAAACATACTACATCATATAGAGTGGACGCCCTCTTCGTATCGTTTTACATAAATATCAACTGGCGGTGAAGCGTCATGATGTATCTTCGCTCATATCAGTCCATACGAATAACTGTGGATATGAATTTGACTGAGGTAAGATGGAAATTCTGGATAGTGGAAATACAAAAAATGTGATAGGATTCTTAAAAGCTTGAAATCCATATCACATAGTGATTAGCAGACATATTAACATAAACGCGATCTACCAACCAATGAGAAACGACAAGAAGGTCAAAGTTCACGTCATCATAATAACCAATCGAAATAAATATGGAGACAATGAAGAGACTTCGGCACAAACAACCAATCACATACAAGGCCATCCAAACAAAACTACTCAACCACTTGTGGAGAAAACTCTATGCTGATGATATTGTCTAGAATGACAATGAAAGCTTCACGATTAAACTGTCTAGCTTAGAGAATAAAACACCATCAAAATATTGAGTATCGTAAGTGATGAAGGTGTTCCATTATTGACAGCACATTTTCGTATAATGCCAATTTAGGAACACAATGTCTTTAATTTATACCTTTTGATCAGGAATCCTTTTTTCTAGAGTAAGTCAGCAGTTCAACCTGATGCGAACCACTCAAAACTGAGTCAACTAAATCAAAGCATAAAGCTTTTATAGTAGAGAAATACGGTACTTTGAGATTGAAAATAAGTCAGGAAAGATAATAGGCATAGGTGATACTGCTTGAATTTTATTGACATAAATTGACATGAAATTACATCAAAGACATTAGGTAGGTTCTCCTCAGCTACTTACAGTTTAAACAATAGTATGCATTCATGACAAAACTGCACTTAATTTTATCAAGTTGAAGAAGAAATATAGATTTAGAATTATTATTATTATTATTAGTCCCTTGGGTTCCTAGTGGAACATAGGGCTTCAGTAGCACGTCTCTACTCTACTCTGTCCTCTGAAACCTTTTGAACCTGGCTCCACGATAGCCCAGAAGCTCTCATTTCCTCCTCGCACTATCTCCTCCATGTCACCCTCGGACGTCCAACTCGTCGCTTCCCATGGGGATTCCACTCGAGCAACTGGCCTGACACGTGATGTCCCCAGTCGGCTTTCTCAGTGCATGCCCAATCCATCTCCACTTCCTTCTGCATATTTGTTGGGTGATAGGTTCTTGGTTGGTTATAGATTAAGAATAGTTTAAGTCAAATAGTGACAGAAACTGTAAGAACTGTTAGTAAGATTGACTCAATTGGATTCCAATGAAAATAGAGGTGAAAAAGAAGATTAAAGAAGTGCTGAGAAAGAGGAAGAGAGTTTTGTAGAAATGAAAAACTAGAATCATGGATTATTGCAATGATACTTGTAATTTCCCGTCGCTATACAGGGCCGAATTACTTGACCTCTGTGGACAGATGGACCTCTATGCGGATGCCTCGACACTCCCGGATCTTCATGATGTTATATTGATCTTAGTGACCAGCATAGGAAACCGTGACGCGGGTTTCGTCAGCTATTGTACCCCAGTGGCTTAGTGGATAGCGCCCTGGCGTTTAAAGCCAAGGGTTCTGGGTTCAATCCTCAGTGGGAGCAACATCACTCACCGAGGTCCAGGTACATCCAGTTGATAAGTCCCAAGTAAGGCAAAACGCACGTCCTGGACTCCTCTACTAGTCACCAAGATCAGTGCAGAATTACGGATTACTTTGTTATAAAAGAGTAAGATAAGCAATTTTCGTATGGTAATAGTGAATCAAAACAATTGACTACAACGAAAGAGAGAAGAGATAAAGCTGCCATTTTCTTTGTAGTTTTTTTCAACTTTTTTTACCTAGTCATCCTCTAACCAGTCAATTTTCTTTCCGACAGTTCATAAAATCTTTGCCACTTTAACTAGTTTGCATTAATCCAAGTTTGTTTTACGGGAACCGTTCCAATGAATACCTCCCTATCTTCTCATATGTACGTTTCTTTATCTTCCTCAAGAACTCGGGAAAAAAATAAGTTGCTGCTACTATTCCACTTCATTTATTTTCCTTCAATTATTTAAGTTGACAACATGATAAGGTAGATTCAATTGACTACCTAAATAGAACTGGCTATAGCAATAGCAACCTAGCCTGGTTAACTAGTTCACTAGTTACTAGCCGGTCCTAAACCTGGGTAAAGATAGAAGGTTGGGCATAGGGCTAGCAACCCTATCCCGTAAAACAAATCTAACCGCTAAACAAATTTCAAAGCACAAACAAAATATAAAAAATGAAAACAAAATTATTCCTCGCTGGAATCGGAGAGGCGAAATGACGCCAGTTGGTGAAAGCCTGCCTTCGGGAAGCCAACTGGTGGGCCGATGTGTCTTCTCTCTCTCAATAAAAGCGAAAGTAAACGTGGAGAAATGGAATGTCTGCACCTTGTTTGAACCTATCAAGGCTGCACAGATTGCCAAAAAGATGAGAAGGTATCGCATTGAAGTGCTTGGAATTTGCGAAAGCAGATGGAATGGAAGTGGGCTCTCCAAACTGTCAACTACAGAATCAATAATCTACCCCGATACTGTCATCCAGACGACAACCACGAACACACTGAGTTGTGGAGTGGTTATCATGACGTCTCCAACAGCATCGAAGAATCTCATGCAGTGAGAACTAATTTCCTCCAGGATCATAACAGTAAGGTTCAACTCAAAAGGAAGGAAGGTCACAATCACACAGTGCAAATCTAGGCACCTACAAATAATGCAGAGCAAGAGAAAAAGGAGGAATTCTACAGACAACTTCAATCAACACTGGACAAGACGTCAGTTGGCGATATCAAAATTCAAATGGGCGACATGAATGCCAAACTGGGAGCGGACAACACAGGAAGAGAACCAACCACGGGTCGAAAAGCGCTCGGTGAGGTGATGAACGAGAATGGAGAATTGTTTGCAGAATTCTGTGCATTCAAAGATTTGGTGATTGGAGGTACTGTGTTCAAGCACCACATTATTATTATTATTATTAGTCCCTTGGGTTCCGAGTGGAACATAGGGCTTCAGTAGCACGCCTCCAGTGAATTCAAGCACCACAGGATATCCACAAAACGACATGCACTCGAGTTCACCACATTCACACACTAAAAACCAGATCGACTTTATCTCAATCTCAACAAAGTGGAGACACAGCCTACTTGACACAAAATCAGATCAAGAAGAGTAGCAGATGTAGGCTCAGACCACTATCTAGTGCAATGAACCTAACTTCAAAATCAAATTGAAAGCCTTCAAGGAAGTTGGTGATAGGCCACAGTTGAAGTTCAACACCCAGAACAGAAAGTGAATTGAAGGATGAAACTACAAAGGACATCTTCACTTCAGTCAGCCATCAAGACAAAATGGGAGACATCAGGTGACTAACATCCCTGAAGAAACCTGTGTGGAAGAGCACTGGAAGTCTTTGAAAGCTACATGGAAATAAACCTGTATAACCGTATTAGGAAGGAAGAAGAAAGAAGATAAGGAATGAAATGGATCTCGATGGAAACATGGAAGCTGATAGAGGAGGGAGAGGAGTATGGTGGAGCAGAAGATAAACCAGTGCAAGGATACACAACGACAAGAGGATCTGAGTACAATGTATCAAACACTGGATAAAGAAGTGAAGAAGAGTGCGCCGGAAGCAGAAAGACACTTCTACGAAACACTGACAAGTGAAGCAGAACAGGCTGAGGGCTCGTAGGAGAGACAGACAGACCTGACAACATTGTATCAAATAACCAGGTTACTATCCATCTGGGAAGAGATCAACAGAGCACAGATGAAACCAATAAAAGATGATGAAGGAAATTTAATTACGAAAGAAGAGAAACAAAGGAAACGATGGGTCGACCACTTCATGAAGCTCTTGAATCGACCACCACCACCACCACCTGCACTTCATCCGGAAATACCACCTGCAGCCCAGCCATTGAACTACAAGTGAACATAAATCCTCCAACACAAGTCGAAGCCCTGAGTGCCATAAAGCTACTGAAATGCGGGAAATCAGCAGGACCAGATGGAATCCCACCAGAACCACTGAGAGCAGACGCAGAGACAACAGCGGACATGCTCACACCACACCACTATTGCAGAAGGTGTGGAAGGAAGGGAAGGTACCTGTCCACTGATTGGAAAAGGGTTACCCTGTCAAACTGCCGAAGAAGGGAGACCTCAGTGTTTGCAAGAACTGGAGCAGAATCATGCTCCACTCTTGTTCACCCAAGCAAGCAAAATATTGAGCCGCATCATCTTGGAGAGACTAAACGATGCACTGGATTCAGAACTACAACCCGAACAGAATGTCTTCACGAAGTGTAAATCATGTGCGGACCAGATTGCAACACCACGCTACGCATCATCATAGAACAAAGTATAGAATGGCAGTCAACCCTCTATCTCAACTTCATCAACTTAGAAAAGGCTTTTGACAGCGTCAACCGACAAGTAATTTAGCAACTGCTTCAAGACTACACAATACCACAAACCCTTATCAATCTCATTCAACAACTATATGAAGATGCCACATGCCAAGTATTTCACAATGGGAAGCTCAGTGATGCTTTTGAAGTGAAGTGAAGACAGGAGTGAAACAAGGTTGCCGCCTACTATTAACCATGATATTCCTGATTGTTATGTGGTGGACTGGATCATGCAGCAGACAACTATGAGGAGCGAAAAGAGGCAGATATGCTGGACCACGACAAAGAACCTAGGAGGTTTAGATTTCCCTGATGACTTTTGTCGAATGTTACACAAACTCTAAGATCTACAGGCAAAAACTAACAAGTTGACAGAAGAGGCAGGGCAGCGAAGATGGGACTTGCTTCAAGTGAATATCGAGAAGACAGAGGTGATGAAGATACCCAACCAACCCCACCCTCAACAACAACAACAACAAGAAGCTCCAATCACCGTCAACGGGAGAAACCTAAAGGAAGTGACCTCCTCCACCTATCTAGGCTGCACTGTTTCAACTACAGGCGTCACAGGCACAGACGAGGACGTCATAGCCAGGATGGGACAGACAGCAAGACAGGCATTCATTGGTTTGAAATCAGTGTGGAGATCCACTGCACTCAGCATGTGGAACAAGATCCGGATTTTCAACACTGATTCAGTGAAGTAAGTCAGTGCTTCTATGTGATGGTTGAGAGACTTGGCGCATTACGAAAGGCATTTTTAACAAACTACACACATTCATCAACACCTGCCACCTACGCTCACTCGACGCTGAAGATCAGATGGCCAGAAGTAATAAGCGATGGTGAACTCTGGCTGGCTGGCAAAGAACCAGCCAAGAGGCTATCGCTGAACAAATATGCAGAAGGAAGTGGAGATGGTTTGGGCATACACTGAGAAAGCCGACTGGGGACATCAGGCGTCAGGCCAGTTGCTGGAGTGGAACCCAGATGGGAAACGACGAGTTGGGTATCCGAGGAGATGGTGTGAGGAAGAAATGAGAGCTTGTAGGTTATCATGGAGCTAGGTTCAGAAGACTGCAGATAGCAGAGTGCACTGGAGGCATGTTACTGAAGCTATATGTTCCATTAGGAACCCAAAGGACAAATAATAAATAATAATCATCACAATAGGAATTAATTCGCTAAAATGACTCTGTGTGTGTGTGTGTGTGTGTGTGTGTGTGTGTGTGTGTGTGTGTGTAACGTGTTCATCAAATAATCATCTTATTAAAGTTCCAAAGTTGTGAATGAAATTAAAAATGATCCATTTAACAATTAAATATAATCAGAAGTATAACAGATGGTCCTTAAATAAGCCTGCATCCTCATTTCAGTACAAACAGAAAGTATACTTGTGACTGTATAGAAATTCAAACTAATTTTGAAATGTAAGTTTGTGCCAAACATCTAGGCATTTCAGAAGGTCATCTTCCTTTATCAGTAGATCACGATTAGCGCTTAGAAGACGAAGACAACATTAATCGATTGATTAAACTGAAATAAATTCTAAACTCAGGAACACGAATAGATGTGCTGTCATCAGTTATATATATTTTGAGGATATAAATTACCCAGTTACTCACTAAAATAAATAGCACCAGTAATAGTATTATAGGAAACGAGAAGAAAGGAATATTTATTACTAACATGTGGTTCAGTAGTCGTTAAATATGGTACACTTTGCAGTAAGACATTCATTTACACAATGTGCTTCATTTCCTCTTCTGCTTGTCTCTTGATTTGCTTTTCATACACCAGTGTTGTCTCTTTAGTTTCTCTGGACAGAATCCTTACCCATTTCTTGTAATTGCCTATGAATTCTGTCGCCCTCCCAACACATACTACTTATGTCCACTCTTATCAGCAATGCCCACCACAGTATGAGTTACATTAAACTGATGAAAGCCAACAAAATAATTGAATCCATATAACCTCACTTCAATATTTGCTTCTTCCAAAGCAACCAATTATTACTTTGTTAAATATATTACATTGGAAACCCGAAGTCACTGGATAACTGTTTCGTCCTAGTATGGGACTCTTCAGCAGTTTGCACCCATGTGCTCCCAAGTTTCCAATATTTCTCCAACTGATATCAGTCCATGATGAATACCAACGTGAAATCAATAAATAAATCCCCACAAACCTCAAAAAACTGAAATATATATCATTACCTATTTTTATAGTTTAACTTTCTAACCTATTTTTTTTCTTAGGATACATACTTAGTTGATCAAACTGAACCTTTAAAAATTGGATTGAAATGGATTGCTAGAACAACTGAACCACATCCATCAGCTGATAAAATTGATGAATATCCTGTAGCCGATCCACGTGAAAATACTGAACTACTTCAGGTAAAGTTAATCAAGATGATGACCTGACTCCCTTCATTTCCTATTTTTTTTAGCAAATATTTCATTATTCAACGGTTCATATTTATGATAGTAATAATAACAACAAACTACACTCAGCGGGCAACAAAATGTAAAGTGAATAAAACTAGTGAATATTGAACTAACACCTAAATGGTTTTCCACTGCAGTTCAAGATGAGTTAATGTAAGAAAATCAACTAGTTAGCCCCTAGAACAATAATCTGAAATGAAAATTTGGACCTCATAGCTCAGTTGGTAGAATATCGGGCCGTAAACCCTGTGGTCGCTGGTTCAAATCCAGCTGCGGTCTAAATTTTTATCTCACCTTCAATCATCACTTAGTATAAATACTAGTCTATCAAACTACGACTATCTTAGATAGTCAAATGATAATAATCTGAAAGAAAAAAGATTAATTTAAGTACTCAAAAGAAACAGAAAGTAGGTATGGAAATGAAATCTTCCTTAGTAACACACTAAGCTGAACAATCATATTCTAGGGTATACTACTGCCAATGATGATTCTTATTTCACAATTTCAACTAAGCTTGATCGGTTAGTCTAGCTTCTCTACTTCTTATGATACGTAGACCTCTGAGACAGTTGAACAAATCAACGTAGAACCTCACACAATTCACTGCACCATACAAACAATAAATGAGTGGGAAAGTAGCGATGTAGAAGTAGACAGATGTTTGTAGGAGCAGAAAGAATTTTATAAGGAAAACTTTCAAAGAGTAAATTCATCTGCGCCACTATAACTGACTTTTCAGTCATATTGCCAAGATTCTTCAATCATATTTCTCTATATTCAGTCACTTAAGAAAAATAACTATATCTTTATAGTTATGGTGAGTGTATAAGAAACCAGCATAAACTCTATCAAGGGGACTAGCTGAATATCACTGAGACATCTGTTACTGACAAGCTCATCAAAGAGTTCACTTCCATATGATTAAAAGTTTATTCTCATAATTTTGTTCTCTACCGAATTATTCACCTATGTTTGTTGTTGCTCTCAGTTCTACAATCCGAAGAACTTGATGAGTCGTAATAAGAGGTTTAATTATCCTAGACAATGTAATTTACAATAATCTGTCTTATATCAGAATTACTTGGTTCGAATTTTGTATTACATTAAATGTCTTTACTGATAAAACAGAGTCAACAATTGATTTTACGTGAAGTCTGAATGTAACTTAGTCGAAATATGGATTATATTGGGATTTTAGTTGAGCACCGACCAAGTAATGCAACTGTTGATGCTTCCTCAGCCAACCAGAACCCAAATTTTCCTTTATCTTAAACGACTGTCTTTGGGTAAACATATCCTATCGAATTCAATATGGAGCTTTAAGGGAATTGATGGATTTCACAGTGCACACTGCTTATGAGTTACACACCACGACGAAACAGCTATCCAGTACCCCAAGTTTTCAATAGTTCTCCAACTGATCTCGCTCCTTGAAATCAACCAGTCCCCACAAACCTCCGAATTGAATTAATATCTAGCGCTCATTCGTCAAATGCTTGGGAGTGAATTTCTCAAGGTTTTAATGCAAAGGCATAACTGTTGGTGTCAGCCAGGTGGAATGTGAGTATAAATACTCGCCGATGACATTGAATATTGGTTGTACTACAATACGAACTGAAAAAAGTAAGAAAATGTTGACCATTTGATCCTGACTCAGTGCCTGGACGGTAACTCACCCTCCATGAAACCTAATGGACCTCAGCTTAATTCCTTGTGTAGTTATCAGTGCGCACTACTGAGGAATTTCTGACTGAGTTGAAGTAGATATCCTGTACTCTTAAATTTTTAATGACTCTCCAAACGATATCAGTTCATAATGAAAACCACCATCCTATCCAAACTGACTACCAGTAGACCGATATGCGTCACTTTCGAGAAAATGTAGCTTTCTGGTTAAGCAGTTATATAGTTGTTTGCAGATATGTATTTTCTTCAAAATATACCCTCAAAAACATTACTCCTAACAACGCCACTGATATTGGTAACTGATCATCATCGGTAAGTAATTCTAACATGAAGCAATTTCCGTTTATACTTAATTAAGTGAATACTTATGACCATTGAAGATCTAGTATACAGTCAGCATACCTTTGACTATTCACCAAGTCTTATGGTTTAACCAGCATTAAAGTTCCACCTGATCTTCAAGCATAAAACGTTATATATACTCAAAAATCTCATTTATTAGGCGATTACTAATTGGTAAATCTCCACTATATTATTTTCTGTATTACCATAAAGTGCGCTAAGATATTGTGTATTATTATACAACATACCGATATGTACAAGTTTCAAGATAATACCGAGATCAACCCAAGAGTTGATGTTGTGAACTATGCTTTTCAGTGGCCAAGATTAAACCATCTTAAAATTACTTTATTTTTAATAAATCTATTATACATTGACATGTTGATGTCCAGCACAACATTGAAATGCCTGTCAACTATAACCTTACCTCAGAAAACAACTGACTCTGAACATTTTTCACTCTGAGTTATAAATATTGCTACACAATATTATTACCCCCCCCCCCCAACTAATCATAATTCATGTAAACTAATTCTTCTAGCTTACTTTTATGTGTAACAAATTTCACTTAGTACAAAGTATTGCAATAAGTAAATAACAATGATAATAAAAGATGTAACATAGTCTCCTGTTCAACTAAACATGACTTTAACTCTGGTGAATTTCATTTTGAAACTTGGAACCTCAAAACTCCAATAGGTAGGGATTTCCCAGTGTAGGAACCAGAAGACTAAGACATCTTGTATAGTAGTCATGAAATAGTGTACACCTTGCACTAAGACAGTTATTTGCACAATATGTTTAGTTTCCTCGTCTGCTTCTTTCTTGATTTGCTGTTAGTATGCCAACATTATCTCTTGCATTCCTCTGGACAGAATCTTTACCCATTTCTGGTAATTGCCTATGATTTCTGCCGCCCTCTCAACACATACTACTTATTATAATTATATCTATTCTGATCAGTCAAGCCCACTACACTAGTAGCAAAGAACAAAGATAGTTAATACTGAACATAAGGTATTCTAACTCTGACTTAAGTAGCTTATTGAACACATTTTATGCTTATGATCGATTAATTTTGATCAGTGGTGAAGATTAGAACAGGACTAAGGATAACGATTCAATGAAAGGTTTATAAAAGTCTTTCTATTGAATATTTATTATTTGTTTATTTATGTTCTAAGACCACTAATATATTGTTGAAATATTTTGTTTAAATGTATTCATTTTCAAGTGAATTATTTGAATTACTTTTTCTCTAGTTATCATTTGATAATCCTTGTGCAATTCGTAAATGTTGTCCAAATATAAGAGTTAGTTACAATGTAAAAGTTACCAGGTAAGCGATAGTATCATATGAATGATCTTCTCTAAAAGTTTTGTCTTACTAAATCTTAAATGGATTGTGGTTCATTTGGATTGTATCAATTTCAGTATTTTCTTTATTTGATGATATAAAATAGTATGTCTAAAACGTTTTACCTTGCCATTCCAGTTTATTAATCAAAACGTCACATATTAAAAAGCTTTTGTTAAAAACACACAATCCTTAGTCTTTGTTTAAGGTCACTACTTAAACAATTCAGTTCCAACCAATGGGTTTTGGTTTCGAAACGGCCCTCTTCTACATAAGAAAGCTTAGGCATCCATTCAGTACCACAGTGCTTAAATACTAGGTACTATAACCTAGTACATGAAGTCTTTCTGTTATTCAGCTCCATATATATATATATATATATATATATATATATATATATATATAAATTCTTGAGTAACTTGAAGGTTCCCTAAATTATTAAGAGATATTTTTTTCTCTCTCTACTTTTGTAGAAATATGTATAGTAGAGTTTTGCAGCTAGCGCACTATATATTGTCTTCAATTCTCCCTTATTCAATAGAATCCATAACAACTAACAAATTGACTATATACATAAAAGTGTAAACACTTAGAAAATCAGTATATTGTCATGTGTTTCTTCTCATCAAACTATCAGTGAACCTCGTAGTCGAATATAACTAACCTAAAGCCTTTTCATACATTCATCTTATCTCTCCTTATGTTATAGTGAGAATTACTGCAGAGGTATTCAGACAGAAAAATATAGATAAACAGTTCATAAATCTACAATGAATTCAAATTCCTTGAGTAAAATAATGAAGCTAATAATAATTATGTAAAAAAACTTAATTCTGCACTGAAATAATAAATTAAAACCTCAATAAGTAACTAAATGAAAAATAAACTAACTAAATCTTTCATGAGATTGAAAGAACGTTGGAACCTTTTATTAGCCGACTAGTAATATCTTAAGAAGAAATAGAAGAGAAGAAATGCATCCATCAACCAAGTGCATATCCATATGGTAAGCACTGAGCCCAACCTATTGTGTGAGGGCTTCTGAGACTAGCTGGCTGCCGATCTCTCGGGAGTTGGAGAGGGGTTCGAACCCATGGCTCAATGGTATTGACATATCCTTTGAAGACTAGATGATCTACTCAAACTCAATGACCCATGATTCCTCTTTCAAAGCTTATTCTTGACTGACTTAATTTAACTTATGCAGCAAACCTGTTGGTTATTTTTCTCAAGTTTTCATATAGATGTAGACATATAACGAAGTATAATGATAAGAGTGTGATCTAATATACAAAGAGGCTTGAACACGTAGTTTTCATGAATAAAACTAGAACACCTTTTCAGTATAATGTCAATAATAATAGATTTTATGCCTACAGATATTTACATGAAGAGGTTGGATACAGAAAGAATTAGATATTAGTCGTGGATCAGCACTACAAAAGGGTTTCAGACAGCAAAAAAATAGCTTCTCAATATTTCTTGGTGGAATGCGTCAACCTCTTCACTTACCTAAGGGCCGGTTACTGATAAAATTTCAGCTGTAATACAGAAGGCCTGTTTGACATTTGCCGACTTGCATCAGTTGTGGCGCCAGCTGTAGAGATGTTCGACTATCTATCAAAGAACGAGTATACTGTCCGTTCTGTCCTGTTGTACAGTTGGCTGTGAGACATGGCCATTAAAAGTAGAAGACATAAATCGATTACAGGGTTTAGATGATGGGTGTCTTCGTAGTATTGCTCGCGAAGTTAAAGTCAGGCGAAGGGTACTAGGCAAGACAACCTGGCAAGTCGATGGATGAGGCTGTAAACTTTAGTCCACTGAGATGGCTTGGACATATACTATGCATGCTAAGCCAGTGCTTACCTCGACGTAGCATGCTAGGGGAAGTTGGATTAGGTTGAAGGGGGCTTCAGACTGGTCAGATCGAGGTGTGACACTAGTCCATGAAATTCCTGACTTCCTGGTTGGATCCCGGGAATGACAGGAGGAATCAGTGGTTGAGAACTCTTGGTGACATGGCTGAAGATGCACATCTATGTGAATATAATTTTAGTGAGGGCTACATGTCACTAGTAAAAAAGGTCATAAAAACATGGAACAGCTTAGGCGTTAAGTATTTGATTTCAGCACTGAATGACATAGGTTCAAATCACTGAGGTATCAACAATTTCTTTATGGTTGTAGATTTACTTTGTTAATGAATACCAAGATCAAAATCTAGGTCCTAGAATTTCTGCTCATTAACTCCTAACGCATAAAACTAATTATAATGATCAGTATAACTCATAACAATATAAGCCACTTACCTAAACTGAGCATATGAGGAAAATGTTTGGGAGATGAAAATAAGCAGCTATAAATCGAACCATTAGACTACTAAGCCATAACTCTGCAATATATGTGCAGTATTGATATCGCAGCTTTGACGGATAATTATAAAACATAAAGTCAATAGTCTGGCCAGAATTCCATTTTAGTCTGTTTATTAGAAATATCACAGAGTGAAACAGCATCATTTACTGGTTTACCAGATCCCTTGCAATGATTACGAGGTCAAATATATAGGTCAAAGTAGTCAACCAGGGTCAATTACAATAACAGAGCACAAACACTTGAATACATCAAAATTACTACATCCTAATAAGATAAGAAATTTACAGAAAAGCTCGGCTATAGCTCTGCACGCAATTACATGTAATCATACAATAGAGTTGGACAGAGCGACATTATTGAAACCTTAGTTGAGTGAAGAGAGAGATTAATAACCGAATCTTTGTTTATCGAATCAACACCAAATACATTGAATCAGATGACTGATTCCCTGACCGTCCACTATATATGGAAAATTCTACTACCCTTATCATCACAAGGAAGGAGAGAAAATTTGGAATATATAAAGTCTGTCTCGAAGTTGTGGAGTTACCTGCTGACATGAATATGGACAATAAAAATTGTATCCGAAACGTTATCGAGTGAACGCTACTGTTTCTTCACTATGTGATGTTACTAATAAACAGACTAAAATGGAATTACAATCGACCACGGTGCGCAAGCTTTACTCTTATATCAAGTCTGACCAGAAGTTATATTATTATTATTTTTCCCTTGGGTTGCTAGTGGAACATAGGGCTGCAGTAACACGCCTCCATTGCACTCTCTTCTCTGCAATCTTTTCAACCTGGCTACACGACTGCCCACAAGCTCTCATTTCTTCCTCACATGATCTCCTCCATGTCACCCTCGCCTCGAACACCCAACTCGTCGTTTCCCCTTTGAGTTCCACTCAAGGGCCTGGCTTGGCGTGTGATGTCCCTAATCAGCCTTCTCAGTGTATATTCAATCCAATCCATCTCCACTTCCTTCTGCATATTTGTTGGGTGATAGGTTGTTGGTTGGTTCGTTGCTAGCCAGCCAGAGTTCCTTGTTGCTTATTACTTTTGGCCTCTGAGCTTCAGTATCGGGTGAACGTAGGCAGATGTTGATGAATGTCTGTAGTTCGCTGCAAATGCTTTTCGTAACACGCCAGATTTCTGAATCATATAACAGCACTGACTTGACTGAATTAGTGTTGAAAATTCGAACCTTATTCTTTGTGCTGAGTGCAGTAGATCTCCAAAGTGATTTCAGATTAGTGAAAGCTTGTCTTGCTTTTCCGATCCTGGTTTATATATATATATATATATATATATATATATATATATATATATATATATATATACTTGTTTACAAAGTTTTCTCTATTGAACTTTACCAAAATGTATTTTTAGGGATAAAAATGGACCCGTTGTCTATGTTGGAGACGATAATAACCAAACAATTGAAGTTGGTGTTCGTGTAACAAATATTGGCAATGATTTAGCTTATGTCACTGGATTAGTTAGTAATTTTCAACCTAGTTTGCTGGAACTTGATCCGAGGGTAAGTTAAACGGTTAACTATGATTTTTTTTCGAATGTTATCTTAATTTTTGTTTGTCTGGGGTTTGACAGTTGTAAGTTAGGTAAGATGAAAGAAATGAGAAGGTTTCGGGTGCTCCACAATCACTGCCGCCTTCGTGGCATTGACTATGTGTCGCCAAGCTACCATACTAATAAGGTAAAGGCTAGGAGTAGAGTCGTAGGTAATGGAGGTAAGTCAGCTGATGAAGTTGTAAATGTTTCTAGGCCTAGGCAGCTAAGAATTGTTTTATGCATGTCTAGACCTCGTTTGTTTGGATGCTTAATGTTAGCTGAATTTGCTTTAAGTTGATAAAACGTTAAAGGCTGCCAGACATTAGTCCATCAAGTATCTGATTGTTGGTGTGAGTTGTATAGAGAAACGAAGACTTCTGATTTAGAGTCTCTGCAACTACTGCAATCAGTGATTGTAGACTCTAGGAGACATGGCTGAGAATCTCTATCTCTGCCTCAGATATATGTAAACCTTATCCTAATTACCTTCACTTCTGATAATTCTCTTTCACTTTTATTCACAATTTCTTTCCTATTAGTGTATGTATCATCTTACTACTTTGTATCCTTATGTACAGATGTAAGGTGTGGCAACTTGGATCATTATGTGGTAATTCCAGGTCCCATGTTGATATTGACTGACTGATAGGGTAAGATCGACTTGAGTATAGTAAAAGGAATAAATGTATTAATGAGTTCTGATATGAGTCAAAATACAATTCAGCAGTTTTATTCATTTTTCTTACTGTAAAACTCTAGTTTTACTATTCTCAGTAAATTTTATTGATTTTACAATAATTTACACCTAAACACTTGATTTCTCTTTATTATTTTACACAATATATGTATTTTAATGCAGTAAAAGTGAATTTTCATGGTCCCACTAAGTGGTATTGTATGGTGTTATTAACATGAATAGGCTAGTAACTGTTCAAATACAAATTCAGTTAGCCAATTGATCCAACATTTTAATGTCATCAGTTAAACGATGGAACTATTCTCTTCATTTACTTTCAGTTAAGAGGATAATTGGTACACTTTGTATTCAACTGATTGTCTTGTTAAAGAATGACTGATTTTAACACAGTTTTCATCCCATATTCCCATCAGTAAAAGACTCGTTGAAAGTACAAAAAATCCATTTTGTTTATATAGGAATTACAAACAAGTGATCGTCTTGATAACATTGAACATTGAAGATATATTTTTATTGTTTCCATTTGTAGCGGATGCATAAAATTATCCTCTTAAATGAATTTCTGTCACATCACTAATCATATTACTGATAACTATCCATGTCTAAAGGTGGTCTAAGAAAGTTGTAACCTATATTTCTAGCCTCTAATGGCAACTGAATCTTTATAGAAACCCCGTGACATATAACCAGCATTATTTAATTTCAAGAATGATACAGGTTTTACAAAAATTAGACAATTACTTTAAAAATATATCAAAAGAAGACACTGTGATACACGGTCCAATCGTAAAACTCTCTATGTATTTCTAAACAAAATTATCTACACTAAATTCAGTGTAAAGTAAACTATCAGGATCCCTCACTATGAATGTAATTCAGTAATCCATTGTGACGAGTTTGTATTTGGTTGATTTCTCCACTCGACTGTAGCAACATCAACTACATGTATCTTCCTATTTGCTGTTCATCTTTCTGATATCTCACGTTGTAGCTGTTCACCTTTATTAATTGATTGATACTTCACGTGTATGTCTATGCACGCATCGATTACTGATTGATCTGAATTGTGATCTTCTAGGAACTCTCTGGTATTCTTCATCCTTCCTCTTTCCATGATCTTCACATTTTCACAATCGAAACCATGTTCATGGTTGTCCATATTGATTGATATGAGTGTTGAAATGTTTAATTGATGTTTATGTTGATGTAAATGAAGATGGTGACTACTCTGTTCAATCCAGTATTTACCACAATTGTTGCGGTTGATTCTGTACATGATATTTGATTTATTTTCTGTCTGCATAATAAGGTAGGTAAGATATTTGTTGGTTTATCATTTACACCAATTTCAAACTGCCTCAGTGATCTTTTCAATATCTTTAATATTTTCTTTATGCATGATATAATGTTCCAGTTGCTGATTCCCATGGATGACTTCGTAGTCGATGAAGCGTTGGATAGACATATGATAAAGCTGTGTGGACAACCGTCCCCTGTGTGTGATAATCATCATCTCATTTCCTTCAATTTCTCATGATACGGTTGTACTGTAGTGATTTTACTATTTCGAATAACGTCTGTACACAGCTAAATGTTTGTGTATTTAAAGATTTGATCAATGTGTTATCTTTCTGTACACCTGAACCTCTAAATTCACTGTATTAGTTTCATTGACTTAAGTATCAAGGAATGTTAGTTTGCTGTGCGATCCATCCTCTACTATGGATTGGATGCTGTTGGAAACTTTGTTGATCAAGTTGTGAATACCTTTCTATTCCATCCTTTCCAATAAAAACAGAAGTGCTATCAACATAACTTGTTTTCGATTCATTCACCAGTGAAATAGTTACTTCAAGTTTCTGTAATTAATCCTGATATCGATAATTCCATTCGATTATTTTGGTTTGTCTATAAATTTTACCATTGAATCAGAAGTATGCTGTTAGACAAAGTCAATGAGTTCAGTTTAAAAGATTTGTACTATCTGTAAAGGAGAAGAGTTATTGTATCCTCAGTCAGTTACAGTTTAATTAATGTGTGCTATGACATCGATAGATATCGTTAATTCATTGTTGTTCAAAAACATTTTCCGAAAATTTTGTTGCAGAACGTATGGGATATTTGTATACTTTCACAAATTATTTCAGTCTCTTCAAAAACTTTCTAGTAAGATTATACTTTGGAGTTAACAGAAGTGAAACTATTAGGCGTGATGGAATGTTGAATTTGTGTAATTTTGGTCAATTATAAAACTGAAGAATGATCGGTTCATTCTGTTTCATATAACACGTGTTTTTTTTTCCATATTTGCTCTGCCTTTACAAGTTTGTTTAGTATCCTGGTGATTTGGTATTCAGGTATTACCATAGGGTTATTCTCAAGTAGTTGATACAAAGTTTCAAGTTTGAGTTAAATCTTCAATTTTCTTGGAGTAACCTTTCATGCCCACAACTACTACTATGTATCCTTTATCTGTCGTTAGCCTAAAAATGTTTGACATTTTGGGTTTTTTAACGCTTTCTATTCCTGAGTGGGCAGTTAAGTATAATATTTCTTCCAGCTAGTCAATGGCAGGGCAGTTCACTGTGTTTCTGTAACAAACACGATAGGCAGTGGATTGAACAGAGTAGTCACCATCTTCATTTACATCAACATAAACATCAATTAAACATTTCAACACTCATATCAATCAATATGGACAACCATGAACATGGTTTCGATTGTGAAAATGTGAAGATCATGGAAAGAGGAAGGATGAAGAATACCAGAGAGTTCCTAGAAGATCACAATTCAGATCAATCAGTAATCGATGCGTGCATAGACATACACGTGAAGTATCAATCAATTAATAAAGGTGAACAGCTACAACGTGAGATATCAGAAAGATGAACAGCAAATAGGAAGATACATGTAGTTGATGTTGCTACAGTCGAGTGGAGAAATCAACCAAATACAAACTCGTCACAATGGATTACTGAATTACATTCATAGTGAGGGATCCTGATAGTTTACTTTACACTGAATTTAGTGTAGATAATTTTGTTTAGAAATACATAGAGAGTTTTACGATTGAACCATGTGTCACAGAGAATGCAACACGATCATTGTCATCTGCAGAAAGATGGAAATATTCTCTAATAATGAGAAATTCTTTTGCTTATTACTAACTATAACTAAGCTAATCCTGCAGCATATGATAGGAGGATTAAATACATTTCTTTCCATTTACTTTTTTGAATAATTACTTAGACTGACCTAATGAAGGAACCGAAAATTAATGAATCGGTATTGTATAGTGGTGTTAAGTATTCAGGCCAATTGCCAAGAGATGCCCGTTTTCTACTAGGCATGTGACTTAACTGTAGGAAAGCAGAATGGAGGAAAAGAATAACAGAAAAATAGTTCACTTTACGTAGACATTGTTATTAACACATCAACAGTAACACTGACTGTAATTCTCAAGTATTTTATATTAGCCTGTTTATAGTAATCTGCTCTCTAAATCTATTTCAAACTATACTTATAATTTTGTTATAAATCATAAGGTCAGTAGTTTTAACAGTTTTCATTTTGCTCAAGAACTATTCTTACCAATTAGCATTTGTGGAAAACGTTTAAGGTTATTAAATACCTAACTATTTTCATTTTAAAAACTTTTCAACAATACTCATCATTAGCCATTTATAGAGGGGAATTGAGAATTTCTATGCCCTTTACTCTGAACGAGTTATGGTTCAGTTACCCAGATAACTGCAAATTCATGAATCTGCACTTATCTACTTTCTTCAAATGGGTATTCATCAAGTGCATCGTTCAGTATTCTTTTCGTTTACTCGTAATGTAGTTTATCTCCAGTGCGCTATCACTTTATTTTAGGGGGTGTTACTAATTCATTGTCTTAAAATTAGTTACGGATAGCAAATCTATTCAGTACTTGGTTGTGTTTAGTGGATTACTCTATAGTCAGTCGTCTTATAATAAGCTAATCAAAAACATTCCCTTTTCTCTCAGTTGAAATGAGTAACAGCTGATCAGCAACTAAACAGTACATCCTAAACATGATTGTGTTTTAAAGTCTTATTTTTTTTCATATCCCTAAAATAAATTAAAATTGACAGATATAACTTCTCATTCTAATCCAATTGTGCCTGTATAAGGCATATAAATAAAATTTAAACTTAGCGCTTTAAATCTACTAGTCGTTAAAACAAATCAAGATGAAAATGTTCGACAACTTTATGTACTGTTAACTACCATTTCTTTCTTCTTTTATTTATCGTTAACTTTTTCTTTAGTTTAGTATTGAGTATTTACTTTGCCATCTATCTCGAGAAAAGTATCTTTATTCAATAATCAATAAATGTAACAAATTGAACGCTAAGACACTACAATGTAAAGGTATCAAATAATATATAAAAGTAACATCACGAACATGTTTGTAACCACACTAACTCAAACTTGAATCTTGTGTGTGTAATATTCAACTAAATCTTGGTAAAATATGAAAACTCTTCCATGAAACACAATGCATGCGAAATGTCTATGCAATCTAGACTGCGAATCTGTTTATCTTCAGTTTATCTTACTTTTCCATTTTTCTCATTTATTTCGTTGCTATATGTCTCCTTTCCATTTGCAGTTCCTCAATAAATTAGACAATAACTCTTTTTGTTCTTTATAAGGATATCACGCTGCATACTACTTGCATGTTGTCGTATAAGTAGCATACACTACAGCGTTTATTCATTTTTTACTCGTTCAGTTAACTAGCTTTTTCCATTTGCATCTGCCATGAATCGAGTGTTCAGACAGGATCTAAATTCTGTTTTAGTTAGCTCAACTGATATTTCTTCTTCAAATAATCTCCAGTTAAACATAACATCACTGTGTTAAAATGAGATGCTGAAGATGAAGATGAAACAGATATCTAGTACTTCCTAGTTTTTTATAGTTCTCTAGCTGGTGTCAGTCTCTTTTATGAAAACAATCGTCAAGCCAGTCAGTCCCACATGAATATTTGTTAGTAACTGACTCTAAGATAAATATTCTGGAGACTTTTATGATGATAATAAGTAATATAACACGTTTTGGTGATAACTGACTTGGTTGCGACTAGCAGAGGAATCCAGGACGTGCGTTTCGTACTGTCTGAGACTCATCAGCTGGACGTAGCTGCACCGCAGTGAATGTTGTTGTTCCCACTGTGGCTCAAACCTAGTGCCCATCGCTTCAAATGCTAAGTCAATTATAGTAATAAATTTTCAGGTAATATGGAGCCATCCGTTTAGGAGCTTATACACCAACGGAGGTCGGTCTAGTATAAGAGCAAATAATTACAAGTAGACCAACAAAGCGTAATAACTAATACCCGTTGTACAAGAGGTTGCTATCATGCCTCAACGGCCTAGTGGGTAGCACTTTGGCGTTAGAGGCAATGGATGTGAGGTTCGAGTCCCTGTAAGAACAGTGCTCACTTGGGTGTAGGTACATCAAATTGACGAGTCATTTTGATTAGTTGTATCATATTTTATCTCCACAAGTATGCCCTGAGATCATTACTTCTGATAGTTATAACCATCAGAACAGTGACTAATAAACTCATTCCAGTTTCCTCTTTCCTAATTTATCTTAATTTGCTGGCAACTGGGTTATAGGGATCCAATGCTCCATATTTCCAACTTCTCTTAGCTCACGATATATAGCGCAACCGCCACCCAATGTCAACGCTGAGTATCTGTCTCATGGCCATCAGGCTTTGACTCCACCGCTGGCTCAATGGTAACGCGCTGGCCGCGGAACCTGAAGGTCGTGGGTTCGATCCCTGCTGGTGGGGTCGTGGGTGCGCACTGCTGAGGAGTCCCATACTAGGATGAAACAGCTGTCCAGTGCTCCCAGGTTTCCTTTGTTCCTCCAGCTGATGTCAGTCTTCGATGAATAACAACTTGAAATAATTCCAAATCTCCACAACTCCCTCAAAACTTAAAGTAAATGTTGCTAATATAGAAAAAGTGAATTATACTCAGAAAGGATAATCTAGGAAAGCACTGAAAAAACTACTAACCAACTGTTTCATTCTCCTTTGGAATTCTTAACAGCAAGCACCTCCAAACCCGATACAAGTGAAGTTGTACGACTTTCAGATCTTAATTTATCACTTAAATAGTGAATTGAAATTGAATGAGTCGTATTTTCTTGTTTCAGACACTTTGTCACGTATGGCATTTATCTTTGTATGTTGTCGGTAACCATTCATCCTCATCCATCAGTAATCATCTTGAAGCTATTTGCAGATAAGCATTAAATATTTATTGAATTCGATGTCTTGTGAAATAGTAAATGACCACAACATAATCAACACTAAGGAAATCATTAAAAGTCATTTTTCATTGTACACCTAGTTTTTCCTAATTTGAAACTCAGCTTCTGTACATCTTATAGTGGTATTTTGAATGCAGGCTGAATTCATTAGATCTCGTAATGACCGTTTAGTCATCTAATCATCCTGCTAGGATCTCATCATCTATATTTTCCAACTTCTGTCAACTGATAATAAAACTTAGTCATAAATTAATATGGGTGACTAACACATTTTTCCTCACAAGCAACTCGGTTTCTTTAATATGGGAGTAAAACCTGGACACTGTGGTCGATTGTAATTCCATTTTAGTCTGTTTATTAGTAACATCACATAGTGAAGAAACAGTAGCGTTCACTCGATAACGTTTCGGATACAATTTTTATTGTCCACATTCATGTCAGCAGGTAGCTCCACAACTTCGAGACAGACTTTATATATTCCAAATTTTCTCTCCTTCCTTGTGATGATAAGAGTAGTAGAATTTTCCATATATAGAGGACGGTCAGGGAATCAGTCATCTTATTCAATGTATTTGGTGTTGATTCGATAAACAAGGATTCGGTTATTAATCTCTCTCTTCACTCAACTAAGGTTTCAATAATGTCGCTGTATCCCACCCTATTGTATGATTACATGTAATTGCGTGCAGAGCTATAGCCGAGCTTTTCTGTAAATTTCTTATCTTATTAGGATGTAGTAATTTTGATGTATTCAAGTGTTTGTGCTCTGTTATTGTAATTGACCCTGGTTGACTACTTTGACCTATATATTTGACCTCGTAATCATTGCAAGGGATTCGGTAAACCAGATTATTTTGCTTAATTGCATCCATAGGATCTTTTAACCCACAAAGCTTGTCTGTAAGAGGGTTTGTTGGTTTAGATGTCACTTTCATCCATGGTTTATTGAGAATTCTTCGTAATGCTTCTGAGGTGCCTTCCTTCTATGGTAACATAGCACGTTGGGATAGAGCGACAGTATTGAAAACTAACGTTATCCAGTAAATGATACTGTTCCACTCTGTGATATCTGTAATAAACAGACTAAAATGGAATTACGACTTGTTTTCTCATCAAAATTTAGAAAATTCATTTCAAAGCTAGTCGATAGGTAGGACTGAATTATTGTTGAGTCTGATAGTTTGTGAGGAATTGCCTAACTTCAAGGTAGTTGTTATGATACGGTCTACTAAACTAAAATTAAGCCTGTTTCGTCAGTTTATATTGCAAACTATTCTCAAGTCAGCAGGTTCTCTATAGACTACTGGGGACAAAAGTAGTCATTTAAAACACGGTTAATATAAATTAAACACTGAAGCAGCAAGGTGATATAGCTTTTAGAGTTGCTTTTCAATAGATTACTTAAAACATTATTGAATTTTGAGGAAGTTATGTGGATTTGGAAATATTTCAAGTTGTTATTCATCGTAGACTAACATCAGTTGGAGGAACAAAGGAAACCTGGGAGCACTGGACAGCTGTTTCGCCCTAATATGGGACTCCTCAGCAGTGCGCACTTGCTGGCCACGGAACCTGAAGGTCGCAGGTTCCATCCCTGGCGGGGTCATGGGTGCGCACTGCTGAGGAGTCCCATACTAGGACGAAACGGCCGTCCAGTGCTCCCAGGTTTCCAATGTTCCTTCAACTGACGTCAGTCTACGGTGAGTAACAACTTAAAACATTATTACAAATTTAAATCTACTAACTATTCATTTTAGTCTGTTTTGAGACTTCTCATGTCTATACATCTGAATCTTTGTTATCGCAGGCTTTCTCCTCATTTCTCTTCATCTACATTCTACTTATAATAATCCCAGTTGATATTCAGCGGCTGATCACTTTTAGTCAGATATAATCCATTCACCTTTTTTGTGTATCTTCTGATGAGTCATGTCTGTGTCCTGAGTCTCAACTACAACAACATTTCCTTGTTGTTTTCCATGTCATTTTAATTTTATTGCATGGATTTTTCTCGCCAAATATTTCTTTTGCTGCTATATATATATATATATATATATATATATATATATATATATATATAACCTGTCACACACTACTGACAGTTTCCTATATACCGTAACTTCAGAAGACAATAACAAACAGATTATTGTTTGTAAAAAATTGAAAAGAGATTGAAGGATTGAATTGAATTGAGACACTGGTCAGTCGTGGTAACCTTTGCTTTTCGCCATCTCTTCTCCCTCTCTCATTGTCTCTCTGTCGCGTTCATTTTCAACTTCTTATTATACACATATGAATAAATAAGAGTGTCCAACTGGGTTTTATTTTCCTATTTTAACTGTTTTTTTCATCAAAATCTTTCATGTTTACTTTTCAGTTGAAAGAAGCTAGTTTAATTCAACCGGATACAGCAATTTGTCATCTTCAGCATCCATTAGCGTTTGGTGAAACTAGTGAGTGTGTTATACGTTGGCTTGTTATTGGACATCAGTTAACTGTACAAATGGCAAAATTCTATGTGAATAGTACAGTATTAATGTACGTTGAGTGTGTTTTACTTTCGCTATATGTCTATGGTACAAAATAAGATGAAAAGTTTTCTTGCTCTCCTAATTATCGTTATTTTTGTTTGCAATATATATATTGGTTTCAGTGGATAACTTCCAATAAATGAACACCGTTCGACCTACCGAGATTCGAGAAGCTAGATACTACCCTTAACCCTCACGCAATAGGTGTGGCTTACTGCCTACTGTATGAATGTGCACAAGGATGCTGAGTCTATTTCGACATATACTTCCCTTTTAGCTACAATACTTGCAAAACTTATGATACATGCCTTTATCGGGTTTTTAATTCTCGCCTTCCAGTTGACGATAAGTTAGATAAAAATGGAATTTTTCGAAAACCAAACTGGTACTCCATTTTCCTACTAGTCCATACAGTTGAATGTACAATCGGACCTTTTCTATCGCTTAAATCTACTTTTCACTATATAGTTTTAAAATTCCGTTAATGATCTGTTTGTTAGTACATTTTAAAAATGAGATATGTAATAGGTTTTAACAAAATCTTCATCATCGATCAAATGTCATAGTGGGTATTTGTGGAATGCGAGAGACAAACTTCGTCACTGATCATCTACAAAATGACTCAAACATGTATTTCAGATTCTATTAGTGTTTATTGCTGTATATGGATAAAAAAAACAATCAAAGTCACTTTTCAGGCATCCTTAAAATATTTAAAATGGTATGAAAAAGAGTATATGACTTACTGCATTCAGTACCAAATGAATTGTACACAAAAGTTTATGCAATTAAACTGATTGAACTAAAGTTGTGTGTAATACTTTGATTCAGGGGATGACATATATGCTTTAAACAAACTTCTGTATTTAACAACTTCCTTTTATTACTAGAAAATTTAAGGTCTAGTAAAAAGACTTACAGATGTTGAAAGACAATTCAGTGAAGAAAATGTTTTCCATAATTTCATTTAATAAAGCTGTATGATTATATTTATAAATATTGAAAACAAATAACAGTCCATTATTGGTTGTTGGGATTACGGGCTTACTATTATATTCAAAAGTAGAATGAATATACTAGGTGATGATTGAAGGTGAAATGAAAATTGGGACCACGGTCGGATTCGAACCAGCGACTACCGGATTTCCAACCCGATGTTCTACCAACTGACCTACGAGGTCCGACTGCTGACCAGATTTTCATTTCACTTCAGTCATCAAGGGTATTTGCCCGACTATCATATGAATTCATGACACGTTACTACCGCTTGATCGTATTCACACCGGCTGCCTAGTCGGGACTTCTCATTCCAATCCAAATGTATCTGAATTCGAGAGTGTGAGCATCATGTTGATTATCACTTGATTATCTGAGATATCCCGACTTCTCAGTAGTTTAGCAGGCTAGGCGACTAGTGTGAATATGATCAAGTGGTAGTAACGTATCATGAATTCACATGATAATCGGGCAAATACCTTTGGGGACAGAAGTGAAATGAAAATCTGGTCAGCAGTCGGACCTCGTAGCTCAGTTGGTAGAACATAAAGTCGAAAACCGGTAGTCCCTGGTTCAAATCCGACCGTGTTCCAAATTTTCATTTCACCTTCAATCATCATCCAGTATAAATACTAGTCTTCCAAACTACGGCTATCTAAGGTCAGGAAGAAATTATGTAATAATACACTGTTGTTAAAATCATGATAAAATAAGAGAAATAATGTACTTTTTCTGCATACATACTTCAGGCTTGAGTCGGTGGATTACCTGAGCTTCTGCCGTGCAGAAGTTACGGAACCATACTCATTCAGATCTATTTGGTCTTCATAGATAACCTTAAAATAAGATTACAATGGAGCTACGTGACATGAATTAACTGGATGTTCGAGTAGATTTACACTGGCCTTTTGATAACTATCTACGAAACACTTTTCGATTAAAGAAAATGACCCGAAGTTCAGCATATAAGCATACCTTTCTTATCAATTTGGCCAGGTGATTCTTCATTACAACTTAAAACAACGTTTATTAACACTCTCATTTAAAACTGATCGTATTTCCTCAGACTAACTTTCAATCACCGTCAGCACAATAAAAGCTGGTTAGTTTTTGTTAAAAGAGATGGAAGCAGAATATATTTGCCATATACAACACTTATTTATTGCACTTAGTCAAACGATAAAATAAAATATTATGTTATCTGTCTAAACTTTATCACTGTTGTTTACCAGACAACTGGCCATTTTCATTTATTATGGCTGAACCAGTTGGAAACAAAATCCTTTTAAATGAAATAAAAAAATTTGATTTTTTTTCAATTTCTGAACTGTCGCTGGTGCTGTTGTTGTCTTGATACTTGTAATTTCCCATCGATATACAGAGCCGAATTGCTTGACCTTTGTTGGGCTCCTATACAGACGCCTCGATTCTGCCGAAACAATAAGTACAGGTTTGAATTTTCAGTGAGAACACCATCACTCACTGGAATGCAAGTATATCCAGCTGACGAGTCCCAGATAGAACGAAATGCGTGTCTTGAATTCCACTGCTGGCCTCCAAGATGAATATAACATGATGAATATCCAACAATACAAATACATCTGCATAGGAGTCCATCTGCCACGGAGGTCGAGGTATTCGCTTCTGTATAGCAACGGGAAATGACAAGTATCAAGACAACAATAAAATGATACCGATTGTACAAGTGGTGGCTGTCGTACCTCAGTGGCCTAGTGGATAACGCTTTAACGTTCAGAGCGATGGTTACAAGGTTCGAGTCTCAGTAGAAACAAAATCAGTCACTGAGATGTAGGTACACCTGGTTGACGGGTCCCAAGTAGGACGAAACGTACCTTCTGGACTCCACTGTTAGTCATCAAAATAAATGTTGCTACTGCTGCTACTTTACTGTCTTTCTTTCTCAGGTTTGAGTTTTACTGACAATTCCTTTTTCTCACTATTAGGATTCTCGTATTCTTGAATATTAAATAAATTGATATTTTAACAGAATAAATTATTTTCTATACTCAGTTCATGTAACAAATTTAGTCAGTTTACAATTATATAATAAACTGGTATTCACTGAGAATAAACAACTTTTCAAACAAATGTCACCTAATCCACTTCATTGTGTCATCTTACCCACAATGAAACAATTACGCATCAACAACATTATGCATGAATATTGATTTTCAGAGTATCTTACTAATCACAACGAACTACTTCATCAATACTAAGCATTATTATTATTTTAAGGATGGATCGTGGCTAGCAGTGGAATCCAGGATGCGCATTTCGTCCTATTTGGGACTCGTCAGCTGGATGTACCTGCTTCCCAGTGAGTGATGTTGTTCCCACCAGGATTCGGACTCGAGAGCGATCGCTTCAAATACCAGCACGTTATCCACTACATCACCGAGCCACCATAGCCATTTCTTATGCGACGGGTATAGTTTTTAGTATAAAAGTTTTTATATGATACCGTCGTTGATTGGACCGAATTGATCGGTCTCTATTGATATATGGGCTCCTGTGCGGATGCTTCGATATTGCCAGCAATCTGATTATGTTAAGGATGGAGACTGATCAATTCGGTCCAATCAACGACAGTATCATATGAAAATCCTTAAATTATTATTATTATTTGTCCCTTCGGTTCCTAATGGGACACAGGGCTTCTGCAAACTTTTGAACCTGGTTCCACGATAGCCTAGAAGCTCTCATTTCCTCCTCGCACGATCTCCTTCACGTCACCCTCGGACGGCCAACTCGTCGCTTCCCATCTGGGTTCCACTCCAGCAACTGGCCTGACGCCTGATGTCCCCAGTCGGCTTTCTCAGTGTATGCCCAAACCATCTCCACTTCCTTCTGCATATTTGTTCAGCGATAGCCTCTTGGCTGGTTCCTTGCCAGCCAGCCAGAGTTCCCCATCGCTTATTACTTCTGGCCATCTGATCTTCAGCGTCGAGTGAGCGTAGGTGGCAGGTGTTGATGAATGTGTGTAGTTTGTTAAAAATGCCTTTCGTAATGCGCCAAGTCTCTCAACCATCACATAGAAGCACTGACTTACTTCACTGAATCAGTGTTGAAAATCCGGATCTTGTTCCACATGCTGAGTGCAGTGGATCTCCACACTGATTTCAAACCAATGAATGCCTGTCTTGCTGTCTGTCCCATCCTGGCTATGACGTCCTCGTCTGTGCCTGTGACGCCTGTAGTTGAAACAGTGCAGCCTAGATAGGTGGAGGAGGTCACTTCCTTTAGGTTTCTCCCGTTGACGGTGATTGGAGCTTCTTGTTGTTGTTGTTGTTGAGGGTGGGGTTGGTTGGGTATCTTCATCACCTCTGTCTTCTCGATATTCACTTGAAGCAAGTCCCATCTTCGCTGCCCTGCCTCTTCTGTCAACTTGTTAGTTTTTGCCTGTAGATCTTCGAGTTTGTGTAACATTCGACAAAAGTCATCAGGGAAATCTAAACCTCCTAGGTTCTTTGCCGCAGTCCAGCGTATCCCCTCTTTTCGCTCCTCACAGTTGTCTGCTGCATGATCCAGTTCACCACAATCAGGAATATCATGGATAATAGTAAGCATCACTGAGCTTTCCATTGTGAAATACTTGGCATGTGGCATCTTCATATAGTTGTTGAATGAGATTGATAAGGGTTTGTGGTATTTTGTGGTGTTGAAGCAGTTGCTAAATTACTTGTCGGTTGGCGCTGTCAAAAGCCTTTTCAAAGTCAATGAAGTTGAGGTATAGGGTGACTGCCATTCTATACTTTGTTCCATGATGATGCGTAGCATGGTGTTGCAATTTGGTCCTCACATGATTTACACTTCGTGAAGCCATTCTGTTCGGGTTGTAGTTTTGAATCCAGTGCATCGTTTAGTCTCTCCAAGATGATGCGGCTCAATATTTTGCTTGCTTGGGTGAACAGGAGTGGAGCGTGATTCTGCTCCAGTTCTTGCAAACACTGAGGTCTCCCTTCTTCAGCAGTTTGACAGGGTAACCCTTCTTCCAATCAGTGGACAGGTACCTTCTCTTCCTTCCACACCTTCTTCAATAGTGGTGTGGTGTGAGCATGTCCGCTGTTGTCTCTGCGTCTGCTCTCAGTGGTTTTGGTGGGATTCCATCTGGTCCTGCTGATTTCCCACATTTCAGTAGCTTTATGGTGCTCAGGACTACGACTTGTGTTAGAGGATTTATGTTCACTTGTAGTTGTGTGGCTGGGCTGCAGGTGGTATTTCTGGATGAAGTGCAGGTGGTGGTGGTGGTGGTCGATTCAAGAGCTTCTTGAAGTGGTCGGCCCATCGTTTCCTTTGTTTCTCTTCTTTCGTAATTAAATTTCCTTCATCATCTTTTATTGGTTTCATCTGTGCCCTGTTGATCTCTTCCCAGATGGATAGTAACCTGGTTATTTGATACAATGTTGTCAGGTCTGTCTGTCTCTCCTACCAGCCCTCAGCCTGTTCTGCTTCACTTGCCAGTGTTTCACAGAAATCTCTTTTGTCTTTGCGTGCACTCTTCTTCACTTCTTTATCCAGTGTAGTGTTTTGTACATTGTACTCAGATCCTCTTCTCGTTGAGCATCCTCGCACTGGCTTATCTTCTGCTTCACCATACTCCTCTCCCTCCTCTATCAGCTTCCATGTTTCCATCGAGATCCATTTCATTCCTTATCTTCTTTCTTCTTCCTTCCTAGTACGGTTATACATGTAGCTTTCAAAGACTTCCAGTGCTCTTCCACACAGGTTTCTTCAGGGATGTAGGTCACCTGATGTCTCCCATTTTGTCTTGATGGCTGACTGACGTGAAGATGTCCTTTGTAGTTTCATCCTTCAATTCACTTTCTGTTCTGGGTGTTGAACTTCAACTGTGGCCTATCACCAACTTCCTTGAAGGCTTTCAATTTGATTTTGAAGTTAGGTTCATTGCACTAGATAGTGGTCTGAGCCTACATCTGCTACTCTTCTTGATCTGATTTTGTGTCAAGTAGGCTGTGTCTCCACTTTCTTCACATTGAGATAAAGTCGATCTGGTTTTTAGTGTGTGAATGTGGTGAACTCGAATCTATGTCGTTTCGTGGATATCCTTGTGCTTGAACGCAATACCTCCAATCACCAAATCGTTGAATGCACAGAGTTCTGCAAATAATTATCCATTCTCATTCATCACTTCACCGATTGTTTCTCGACCCATTATGATGAGCTGTGTTCCTGTGTTGTCTGCTCCCAGTTTGGCATTCATGTCACGCCACCCATTAGAATTTTGATGTCGCCAACTGGGGTGGGGCTTGTCCAGTGTTGATTGCAGTTATCTGTATAATTCCTCCTTCTTCTCTTCCTCTGGATTATTTGTAGGTGCGTAGCGTAGGTTAGCATCGCATGATTGTGACCTTCCTTCCTTTTGAGTTGAACCTTGTTGTCATGATCCTGCACGAGGAGATTGGTTCTCACTGCATGAGAGCCTTCGATGCTGTTGGGGACACGATGATAGCCACACCACAACTCAGTGTGTTGGTGGTTGTCGTCTGGGTGACCGGAGTAGATTATTGATTCTCTAGGTGACATTTTGGAGAATCCACTTCCATTCCATCTGCTTTCGCAAATTCCTAACACTTCAATGCGATACCTTCTCATCTTTTTGGCAATCTGTGCAGCCTTGATAGGTTCAAACATAGTGCATACATCCCATGTCCCCACGTTTACTTTCGCTTTCATTGAGAGAGAGAAGACACATCGGTCCGTCAACTGGCTTCCCGAAGGCAGGCTTTCACCAACTGGCGTCATTTCGCCTCTCCGATTCCAGTGAGGAATAATTTTGTTTATATTTTTTATATTTTATTTGTGCTTTGAAGTTTGTTTAGCGGTTAGATTTGTTTTAGGGTGTAGGGTTACTAGCCCTATGCCCAACCTTCTATCTTTACCCAGGTTTAGGACTGGCTAGTAACTAGTGAACTAGTTAACCAGGCGAGGTTCATTTCTAAGCATACTGTAATGAATTTCATCAAGCTACTCATTTACACTTTTAAGTAGTCTCGTTATAAACTGTTAGTTAGAAACTGTATTTTATTCAAAAACATGCATAGTTTGAAGAAAGTTGAACGATCAACTTTGCCTGGCATATCTGTTGTATCACATGGCTTGTTTTATATATTTTTAAAATCAACAAGCTAAAATATTCACCTTTGTTTTATGTATCTAAACGTCTACTTTTCTCAGACATTTTAGAAAAGCCCCAATATTGTATCCCACACATTCTGGTGATAGAATTCAGAGACAGTATATTTCTAATATAGACGAACAATGATAAGCATCTCAGACAAAAGTGTAGTAATCAGTTATCTAGAAACTGATGGGTTAAACGTCACCTGTGGTAGACGATAAGCATACTGAACTGGTAAACTAAAATCTCTTTTAGGATATGATGGTAAATTATTGTTGTTATTATTATTATTATTATGAGCCCTTTTGGGTTCTCAGTGGAACATAGGGCTTCAGTACCACGTCACATTTCACTCTGCTCTCCACAGTCTCCTTAAGATGGCTCCACAATTACCCATAAGCTTTCTTTTCTTCCTCACACAACCTCCTCCATTGCACCCTCACACGGCCAACTCGTCGTTTCCCATTTCGGTTCCACTCGAGGGCTTGGCTTGACTCGTGATGTCCCCAAACGGTCTTCTCACTGTATGTCTAATCCATCTCCACTTTCTTCCGGATGTTTGTTAGACGATAAGTTCTTGGTTGATTCGTTGCCAGCCAACCAGAGTTCCCTGTTGCTTATTACTTCTGGCCATCTGATCTGATCTTCAGTATCGAGGGAGCGTGGGCGGCAGCTGTTGATGATATATGTCTGTAGTTTGTTGGAAATGCTTTTCGTGACACGCCAAGTCTCTCAACCATCAAATAGAATCAATGACTTGACTGAATTGGTGTTGAAAATCCGGACATTGTTCACGCTTGTTGGCACTCGTCAGTTAGGAGTATCTACAACCTCGAGCGAATGGATGTCCCTCCTGAGATTCGAACCCGTGCTGGATTAAGAGACGTTACCGTTGAGATACTTGGGCGCCACTGGCCTACTGTATGACTATGTTAGGTACACCAATTAATTACTGGAAGGTAACCAACTTCCTGTTATCTAGAGCTGAGTGCTGACCAAAGTTCACCGATCAGTCTGCAGTATGATCACCAAGTTAAGAAACTCAACCATCACGGTGCACCTTAATAGGTGTTAGTTGGATCAAGGTGATCGACATAGTTGACAAAGTAACACTTTAAAGTGTTACTTACATGGGCTTTACAAGTTAAAAGGTCAAGTGATTTTCGTATCCACAAATCTCTACATGAAATAACCTTTCATGAAAATTCGGTAGGATTGAAGCATCCACATAGGAGCTCATCAATCAATAGAGTACAAGTAATTCACCCCTGTATAGCAACAGGAAGCTACAGGTATATAAAACCAACAACTGATATTCGCATCACAAGAGGTCGCTATCGTGCCCCATTAGCCTAGTGGATAATGCTTTGGTGTTTAAAATGATGGGTACTGGGTTCGAGCCTTAGTTCGAACAATATCGCTCATTGAGATGCAGATACATCCAGCTGACGAGTCCCAAATAGGACAAAACGCACTTCCTTGATTCCATTGCTAGTTACACAGATAAATTCTTTGCATTTATTTTTTTCTAAACTATACCGTGTTTCTTATGTCAACTAATTTCGTTTTATCTCTATGACTAGTTGTTGCACAATATGTTCATAGTATAGAAGTAGTTAAGTAACACGTGGACAGCTAGAGATTTCCCAAGTTTGTCTTCAACGCAAATTGAATTTTCTCGTAATAATGAAAATTTATGTTTTTGTTTATTTCTGTGTCATGATGCCTTTTTATTTTTATTTCTTTTTCCTTATAGAAGCTCTAATAATCCTGTACAAATTGAAGGACAATTGACCAATGAACTACAAGTGAATATTAAAATGACTGTGAATGTTTCAATATTTGGGTAAGTAGAATATATTTTATCAATAAATCTCTTCGTTAATTGACATCAGAGAGAGCGTATCATTTTTTAAAATTTGTTCTAGCTGGATAAACTACAGTTTGAAAGCATTTTATAAGTGTTCAAAAGTATATGACGTGTCTAAAAGACATTTGAAAAATTAAAGCGAATTGAAAGCAAGGAATTGGATGAAATATATTCGATGGAAAATTTCCTCAAACCCAAAGTTTAAGCAGGTCACTTTCTAATTTAGTATCTTAAGGCGAGTATAGTATAGTGGGCGTTGCTGATAAGAATGGATATGAGTAGTATATGTTGAGATGGCGATAGAAATCATAGGTAGTTGCCAGAAATGGGTAAGGATTCTGTCCACAGAAATGCAAGACACAATGCGGACGTATGAAGAGTAAATCAAGATAGAAACAGAAGAGGAAATGAAGCAAATTATGCAAATGACTGTTTCAGTGCAAGGTGTACAATATTTGATGACTACTGTACAAGATGTCAACAATAAACCATCCTTCCTTTGTCTCTATCTTCTAGCTTCCCTTCGATAGAACTATTTTATCACTTGAAAGAAGCCTGATTGTGTATGTTTCTTAACATCTATCGACCCATAATTAGCATAGAAGTCTGTGGGTATCGATTGTCACTCCCTATTCACCTGACCTCACAATGTCTAAAGCTTTCGAGTAAAACTCCACAGGAAATCCACTTGAATGAATATTGGTGTTATAACAGAAAGGAATTTGTGTTTCGTACAGGAGAGATATCATTTTGTACTCTTTCAAGTTGTCCCATTTTCGATTGTGGTCGTTTTTATCCAATTCAACTGGTAGATTTCATTACTAAATGGAGATGATGAATAGAGCAGATAATCAGCCTAGTGGTCTCTATATGATACAACCTCTACATGCAATTCTACGTGATATGAAGTGAACTGAAGTCTGGTTAGCAGTTTACTTATAGTTCTCAAGTAGTAAGACACTTTAGCAGTAACTGGGAGATACCACTTACAACTCTAATCATCATTTCGATTCGATACTTCTTATCTACATTCCCTCAGACTCATTAGCGGATTATTAGGTTAAATGTTTTGAAAATATTGAGCAGACGATCACTAACAATCCATTTTCATCGATTCTAAAGAATTACGGACTGATGTTGCTGCTTGTATGCCTACCTCACAAGAAGCGAATATCGTGTCCCGGTACCCTAGTGTATAACCCCCTGGCGTTTGGAGTGATCGGTCTCAGGTTCGAATCCTAGTAGGAACAACATCTCTCACTGAGGGAGGCAGACATATCCAGCTGATGTGTTCTAAATGAGACAAAATGCACCTCCTGGATTCCACTATTGGTCACCATCCATCATTACTATAACTACGGATTGGAGCAAGATAAAACACTGTTAACTTCAAATAGTCACCTTGGTTATCGTTTTTTCTTGTTGGTGGTAGTAATGATATGATTATCAATTAGAGTACAACTTCCTCAGAGTTTTATGTTAAAACCTCCATATTCTGAAATTTTTTTCTACAGAAAGATTCATCATCTACTTATGAGTATATAAAAGATAGGATATAAAATATTTTCGAAAATTTGTGAAATAAAAAAGGAAAACAAACTGAAATAGATGACATGCACATGGATGGATATATTTTCAAGTTTTACCTGTCTAATTTTTTTTAAAATGTACAGATTTATCATTTTCTTAAAAAGATTTAGATAAACTTGTGACAAAGAAAAAGAAGGGAGATAAATTGTCATATACTACGGTGTTACTACTGTAATTGATTTATCAACTGAGAGAAAATAAAAACTGAATTTTAACTATGTGAAGCATTTTCTTTGACAAAAAATAGATTTGACAGATGATTGAAATATACTACTTAACCTACCTGAACTCCGTTAATAAGATCATAAAGTTACAACATTTGAATCAAAGTAACTCTTCTCCTATGGACTAAACGAAACTAATTACATCGTAATAAAACAGTGAAATTGTCTTGTGTTCTCTGAGGTGGATTGTTTAGTCATGGTGCTTCCATCCTCTTGTTAGACGACATCATCAGCACTAATTCTGTATGAAGTGAGCTGTCATATCTCTCCATGAGTGATTTAATAGCTTGCCCTGACCAACTGATTGATTGTTTCCTTTGGTTGCTGTATAGGTTCCCCTGTTGGCTTTTCCTCTGCTTGACCTCTGACCTCTCTGTTGTTTATCACTTTTCTCATTGGTTGATAGACTGGGTTTATGTCTATACATCTATTAATTGCTGACTGAGCTGAATGCCAAGCTTCTAGGAATTCTATGATATTCTTTGTATTTCTTCTGTCCATTGTCAAAATTGAATTCATATCCATAGTTATCTAGGTGGATTGAAATGAGTGATGAAATTTCGTGACGTTCACCGCTAATTGGTATTCATGCAGACGAAGACGAAGAGGGCGACCACTTTGTCCAATGTAGTGTTGACTCTGTTCAAAAGAGTGAGAACGCACTGAAGTACAGAAACTTCTCTGAGAAACGGAGAACATTACTTGGTGTCTGTCATAAAGAACAACGGCTACCCACGAAACTTTATCACAAGATGCCTATCCCGGGTATCACCAACAGACGAATAATTTTCCTGTACATAAAGAATATATCGGAGATCACTACGAGATTACTGAGACCACTTAGAATTGATGTGGTTCTTGAACCTACAAATTCCATTCATGCCATATTATGCAGACCAAAGGACGCAACAACCAAAGAAGACAAACGAAATATCATTCACAAAACCAATACTAAATTGGGCAGAGTGGTCGCCCTCTTCGCCTTTGTCTTCATGAACACCAATTGGCTATTAAACGTCACAAAGAATATGGGAAAGTTTCTAGAAGCATGGCATCCAGCTCAGTCAGCAATTAATAGATGTATAGACATAAACCCAGTCTATCAACCAGTGAGAAAAGTGATAAATGACAGAGAGGTCAGAGGTCAGGCAGAGGAAAAGCCAACAGGGAAATCTATACAGCAACCAAAGGAAACAATCAATCAGCTGGTCAGGGCAAGCTACTAAATCACTCATGGAGAGATATTGACAGCTCACTTCATACAGAATTTAGTGCTGATGATGTCGTCTAGAAAGACGATGAAAGCTTCATGATTAAACAGCCCAGCCCAGAGGACAGAATACAACCAAGACCATCCACCTGAGCTACAAAAATCCCCCACTATTTCACAGTGAAATTGTTTTTAGTTAGTTAAATCATTGCTAAACCGACCACTTATTGGTGCATATGAGGATGAAGACATATTTCAAAGCAACTAGTCGATTTAAGTGGTGTCCAACTACATATAATAATCATTAGAAGGACCTTGAATAAATGATATGCTAGTGAAACTGGTTTAAAATCAAATTTTTAGTCTCAAGAACTACTTATCTATTAGAAATCGCCGCCCGAACTGCATGATTCGCTGAAACTGTTCTACAAATGTAGAAATGTTTTCGCCAACTGCCTCAACTAACGTACCGTAATCTTTCTTAGCATATTTAACTATTGGAATCCAGTAATTATGCAACAGTTCAACTAAGTCTTTATATATAGAGAATTTTTCTTCAGAACATTACTCAATCTCACCAGCTGAAATAAAAAACTAAAAGACAATGGCTTGCACTATGTATCATCGTTAGAAATTTTGAAGATAGCATTCATCACTAACCAACATCAATACGAAAGGTACTGAACACTAGGTAACATTGAAAAGCTGTTTCATCCTGGTCTGATACACCTATTACCTCTTATGGAATCGAACTTGGGATCGACAATTAGTAGGTTATTATCCTCTTCAACCTAACTTCAAATTTTATCTTGAAGGTATCATTAATGTAAGTGTAAAACTTGGGCAGTGTGATAGAATTCAATTCCATATTAGATTTGTTTATTTAATTTATAACACACAGTGATACAATATTATTTACTTGATGACATCCCGAGCATAAATTATTATTGCTCATAATCATATCAATGTAATCACACTTCTTTCGATATCTGATTTTATAGTCCTGTCACCTGATTTTCTTTGTTTTTTTGATTGGTAGTAAAGTTTTCCATATCTCTGGCATAGGTGTTGCGTCATTTCTATTACATGCGTTTGTTGGGTGTTGATTCGATGAGCAAAGATTCAGTGATCAGTCTCTCTCTCCACCTAATTATACTGAACTTAAGTACAGTAAACAAAATGATCTAATCTGTCAAATTCCATGTAATGGCTATGAGTCACATCAAGTACATAAGTCAAACTAGCCGTTCAGGGTCAGTGAGATTAGTGGAACATAGAAATGTAGCTAAATATAGAATGACAGACCCGAATAAGATTAATAATCTAGAAAAATACCCAGCTACTGCAATGCATAGATTAATACACAACCACAAAATAGGGTGGGATAAGACCACTGTACTTAAGTTCAATATAACTAGGTGGAGAGAGAGGGAGAGACTGACTACTGAATCTTTGTTCATCGGATCAACATGCAACACATATAATAGGAACGATGCAATACCTATACGAGAGATATGGAGAATTTCGCTACCAATAGAAACAAACAATATCAGGTGACAGAACTATAGAAACCAGATATCGAAAGTAGTGTGATTACATTGATATGATTATGAGCAGTGATAATTTATGCTCAGAACGTCTTAGTAAATATCCACTGATAATCAGTTATAGAAACAGATATAAACCAAGTTTTGCAAAGCACGGCTACCTCAGTCAATCAGATGGCTCAATTCGGATTCAGATGAGAAGTTCTAACTGATCAACTAGTGTGAGTACGATTAAGCGATAGTAACGCATCACGAATTCACATGGTGATCGGATGAAACCTTTGGTGACTGAAATGAAAGTGAGATCTTTTTAACCAGTGGGTTGATAGAGCACAGGATCGGTAACTCGAAAGTTGTTGATTCATATCCTACTGTAACCTAGATTTTCATTGCACCTTCAATCACTGGTCAGTGTGAATAAATCTTTGTCATAATATCTGTAATCAGATGGTCTTTAACCACATAGAGATGATTAACATCGTCGCCTTGAATACTAGACTGTTTAAAATGTCGGCTTATGTAATTAGCTAGGGTGTACAAAACCTGACGGTATTATACAACCGATCAAATCAAAATTGATAAAATATCCTTTAATCAATCAGTGAGTATCTAAATCAGTGGGTGATAACAATATTAGTGTGACCATAATGAAGTTTTTCATGATTTGAATACAAATGTGAATCAATACTATTTCACTGTTATTGTGTTTGCTTTTTTCGCATATAGAACAATTGAACCTAGTACAGTTTATTTCAGTGGGAATGTTACAGATGGTATTAGTTCAATGACAGCGGAAAATCAAATTGGAGATGTTAGAATTGTTGGAAAATTCACTGTAAGTTGTTAACTTTCTGATTCATTATGGTTATTAAAATGTACCATAGCGCCTATTTTGTTATTTGTTATTATATTCTATTTTGTATAAACATATAAACTTCATTGTACAAAACAGTTGATGGATAACTCTTACTTTGTCCTTGAAAGGTATGTTCATGATTAAAAGTTAATGGAACATAGAAGAGATTTGTTCTCCCCAGTGGACTGATTTTCAAAGTGGAAGTTGTTGCTTTAGTTGACATTCAGACTTTTGAAGTGACATTCCGGACAGCAGAGCTATGTAGACTGCTTGGTCGATGGGTCTTCAACAGTCAGTGGTTGATGACTGTTGGTGATATGGTTTAAAATCGGTCACAATGGTGCAGATGTATTCAATGCATGTGGATAATTATGGACATGAATTCAATTTTGACAATGTAGAAATTTTGGACAGAGGAAACACAAAAAATATCAGAGAATTCCTAGAAGCTTGGCATTTAGGTCAGTCAGCAATTAATAGATGTACAGACACAGGCCCAATCTATCAACCAATAGGAAAAATGATAAACAACAGAGAGGTCAGAGGTCAAGCAGAGGGACATCCAACAGGAAAATCTATACAGTCAAAGACAACAATCAAAGGACACGATCAATCACAGACCACTTCGTCAAGGCAAGCTACTAAGTCACTCACTGAGAGATATTGACAGCTCACTTCATACAGAAGTTAGTGCTGATGATGTCGTCTAGAAAGACGATGAAAGCTTCACGATTAAACAACCCAGCTCAAAAGACAAAATACAACCAAGACCATCCACCTGAGCTACAAATATTCTCCACTAATTCAAGATGTATTCACATTTTGACGTCTTCTAAAGCTGGAATATTCGCACTATCTGTTAACTTCAGATTGTTCCTTCTCTCACACAAGTTTTTCTGCTTTGATATCGCTCTTTTATCTATCCCTTCTTTTTAAACTACTGTGAAATGAGGCAACTTGAGGTGATGCGCTTGTGTGTGTGTGAGGTTCTACGTTGATTTTGTCAGTCACAGTGCAATACTCAGTTTTCTATATGATCGTCGGCTTCGTACTGCTAAGGAATCCTAAATACTTCATCCATTTCAGTTCGGTCTACAGTTTGGAGGTTTTGTGGGATTTATTTATCTCCAGTTGATTTTCACCACAGACTGACATCAGTTGGGAAACCGTTAGAAACCTGGAAACATTGGATAGTAGCTGTTTTGTGCTAGTATGGGACTGGTCAGCAATGCGCACCCATGACTCCACCTTGCCAGAGGTCATACCCATTACCTTCAGGTTTCGCAGCGACCACGTTACCATTGAACCACCAAGTCAGAATAGAATGCTCTATATTTTCCTACTTCTGTCAATCTGCGATATGACACGGTCTTCATTCGATGTCATCGTTGAGCATTTACCTTCACATCCGACTTGTTTTGACCTATCGGTCATGACTTCTCATTAGAACTTTGGATAGTCTCATCTTGAAGCAAATAATTTCAGTCCATGATGAATGCTAACTAGAAATCTGCTTTTCGATATATCTCTAGATTACCTTTGGTGAAAACTGCCTTGGAATCAGTACAAGAACTGATTCATTACATTAAACTTTTGCCTATTAGAACTTCCTTTTATCTGCATGAAATAAATTCAAGATGGAAGAGAACGTACTGAAGTGTGATCCTCCATATCATTGTATGTCATATTTTACTAGCATAGAATGTCTTAATGTTAAGCAATTCACAAATAAGTGTCGACTTGTTTCAAGTTATATACAATTTCAATGAAACTTATACTTCTTGGTTGTGTTCTCTGAAATGGGTGATGTAATCGTGAAGCTTTCATTGACTTTCTGGACAACTTAATAGAAAAGTTAGTGCTAATGATGTTGTCTTGAAAAACAATGAAAGCTTCACGATTAAATTAACCATCTCAGAGAACACAACACAAGCAAGATCATCCACCTGAGAGACAAATATTCTCCACAATTCCAAAACTTATATTTCACCCAATGTTCAAACATCCTTTATTCATGGCCTAAGATCAATTCTTAGCTGTTACAATTCATGCACTGACACACTACCATACAATAAAGTGAGACAAAGCAACTGTACTGAAATCCAATATAGTTAGATGAGAGGGAGGGCAGGAGAGAGATTCCTTACCTAATCTCTATTCATTGAATCAACACCCAAGATGTGTAACAGGAATGACGTAACACCTATTTCGGAGATGTAGAAAATTTTACTGCCTCTGAAAAGCAAAGAACATATGGTTATAGGAGTATGAAAGCCAGTTACTGGAAGTTGTGTAATTGCCGTGATATGATTATGGGGCATAAAATGTGCCCAAAACGTCTTCTAGTAAATAATACTGTATCACTGTGTGATATATAAATATTTAATGTGCTAATAAAATCATTTTATGTTTCCATTCTACACTGCCTACAACATAACTACTAGTAAGCTTGATTTTTGGTAACTAGAATCGTTTGAAATTTAACTGAAAACCGAGTACCTGTGTTTCATCGACTCAAACACTCAGCTTTCAATCACTGAGATACAGGTTTCAACGCTGCTTCATCTACCGTGGTTTGATTACCTTCAAATATTATATATCCAGCCTTCAGTGTGCTATGTAAACCTGCATATATTTGTTTAACATCGTAGTTTAAGTTTTTAGTTAGATATGACAATCTGGCTACTCTCCTGGAGGTACTGATTTATCGATTCTGAATCGGTGGTTGTACTTTTGAGTCAACAGAAATTTCATTTATATTACTTAACGATAAATACAGCGAAAAGAGAAAGGAAATATGTTGTGAATGATTTTTTTCAATGCTGGTTTTTAATTCTGTAAGATTTTTCATGCTTCAGTGTTTTTCAGTCTTAAAGTATCGAAAATTATGAGATCACACTAGCTCATGGTTACTAAATTGATTTACGCACCCCTTAGGCCAAACTGTATACTTTATTTAGATTCTTGAAAGCCTAATACATAATTCCACGAAGGTTAGAATTCCTACAATAAGTCATAAAACAGAAAACAAAATTTCTAACTCATATACCTAAAATGCTATGCAATAGGACTTCATATACAATTCCTTAACCCTAGCGCTTAATCCCGTCCTCTGATTTGCAAAACCTGACAAATAACTCCAACCGTAACTCTGAAGATAAAGGAAGAATTCCTATTTCTTACTGAAAAGAGCTGTAAATCTGAAGACTCTCTGTATTGTCTTACTTAGAATGAGAAGAAATAGAATTCTCCAAACTTCTGTTTTCCAAAAATCAGTATATAATCCTTTTTCTTCTGATTAGGTGAACATTCATTTACACCTTCATGAACAATAAACTTCGGTAAGCTAAGACTTAGATAAAAATTCTTGCTTCTCCGTTGAATACACTATATCTATATCTATAATGGGTGATAATCGAAGGCCGGATTCGAACCAGCGACCACCGGGTTACCGGCCCGGTGTTCTACCAACTGAGTTCCAAGGTCCAACCTATTTTTTTACCACTGAACTTGAAATCTTTGTTCAGAAACTTCTTTTTAATTGTCTGAAAGACAAGAAATTGGATTAGAAAGGTGGGATCGGTATTTCAACAGGTTTATCGACTGCAAAACAACTTGATGTTTATTCTAGTGTTGATTTATGAATGTTTTTTTCAGTATCAATCTTTCCAGTCAGCTTATGTGTGTCAGCAGTGAGTCGATCATGAATGCGGACTATATTTCCATTTTGATTTCGATAAATGTACTGTATAGTGGGTTAATAATTCCAGGTTTGAGGCTCATTGTGTGTGTATACGTTTGTGATTGACACAGCAAATTCTAGCACAATGTACCGATGATCTTTAACTAAGATTTCGTCAACTGTTCGCCCTGAACTAAAGAATCGATTTCTACTATTCTACTGTAGGTTTTATTGTTTACCATATTTGTTCTGAACTGACAAGTAACCTCAAGTAACTCTGAAGGTCACCCTAACATATGCTGAAATGACCAATGAGGTTTTAATATTTAGACTAGGAAGTTATTTTTTCATAAGATGAAGAAACGTAGTTGGATACCTTTGTTGTTAGGGTAACTATGCCTTCTATGTGATACAGTATAATTTACTAGATGGTGTTTCAAGCATAAATAATTGCTCATACGACACTGATACGATTATGAGCAATAATTTATGCTTGAAACATCATCTAGTAAATTATACTGTATCACTGTCCACTGTATACCAAATAAATAAATCCAATATGGAATTACATTTTACCACAGTGCCCAAGTTTTACACTTTCTCCAAACCTGGGTAGTTTTATAAAACATCTACAGGTATACTTTGAAAATAAAAGTAGTGTTTATAATGACACCACTCTAGTAAATACTGAAATAACAAATTAAGTTTCTCTACATTTTGAAAAAAAACCACGTGTTGAACCAAAATCAAGAAAAGTAATTGGTTATTCCAGCGATCGTTCAGGCGGCAGTTTTGAGTTACTCTTACGATATCATACCCTTGTAAAAAAAGGTTTACAGCTGAGTATGGGTTGCTATTAATCATGTTTATAGACTTCAGTAATTAATTGTTCATATAAAGACAGATTTCGATAGAAAAAAAATTAGTGAATTTCAAGGTTTTTGGAGATTCGATAGATTTTAAATTGGTTTTCATCAAGGAGCGAAGTCAGTCAGAGAACTGTCAAAAACTATGGAACATCAGAGGGGTGTTTCGTCCCAGCTTTGGACTCTTCAGTCTAGTGTGAGGATGGCTACTCTCTCAGATACTTAGGAATTGATAGAAGTTGCGAGATATAGGCCGTTAGATCCTCACGCAATGGCCGAGTAGTGGCTTGCTCACCACGAAACCTGACGACCCTTGGTTCGATCTCTAGAGGGTTCGTTAGTGTACACTGCTGAAGAGTCCCAAACTAGGATTAAACAGTTGCCTAATGCTTTCAGGTTTGCAATGCTTTTCTGATCTATGTTAATCTGAGATGAGAATCCCTTTCGAAAACGAAATTATTTGAAAAACTCACTGTATATCAAGTAACTTTATGACATCTGTAAAAATCATGTCATTCTAATAAAGTAATCTAATGTTCTATTCTTATAATTTTTTATACTGAAAGGTACGAAATCTTCGTAAACATAGTTTGATACCAGCATCTCGTTTAGTCATCGACTGGCCTTTTGAATTCGCTGGACTTATCAATGAACCACATGGGAAGTATTTACTTTACTTACTTGAAAATCCTTATGTTATTCAACATACACTTCCAATACCTGGTGAATCAGCTGAGAATTCAGCTAGTGTTGTTTGTGATTCCAGGGCATTGGAGAAAGTTGTTAATCCACACAAATATAGAGTAAGTTCTGTTTATTAAAATTTCTTTATTGAAATAAATAAATATTTAAGGTATTTGCAAAACTTAGCATCAGTTTAATTTAGACAGTTGGTCATATTTCCAGAGATTGAAATAAATGCCATAGCTGACAGACAACATTCATAAAATTAACCAATTCTGTGAAAGCTTTTAGACATTTAGTTAACTTATCACTTTGTAGGGAATCATAACTTGTTGCTCAGTTGAACAGAAAACCCGCCTAACTGTGATTATTGTGTGGATTTACCTACTGTTCGTACACTGTGTATCATTGCGGTTGTCTACGTTACTGTATGGTAGATATTAAATCATCACCCAGTATCAAGACTAGTCTACCAAACCACGGATACTATCTCAGATAGCCAATGATAATCAATATGAAGTTCCTCCTTTCTAATTCAATTAGGCATGGATTGGGATGAGAAGTCCTGAATGTATAACCAGTGTGAGCACAATCAAGCAGTCGAGCGAAACCCTTGGTTGTTGAAGTGGAATAAAAATCTAGTCAGAAGTCGAGTTTTTTTAACTCAGTTGGCGGAGAATTGGGTCGGAAACCCAGTGGTTGCTGGTTCGAGTCCTTCCAAAGTCCAAATCTTCATTTCAGCCTCAATTGTCACCCAGTATCAAGATCAGTCTGCCTAATCAGGGCTATCTGAGATAGTCGAAATCCTTAGCTGTTTTTGTCAATGTCCCGAAAATCCAGTCAAGAGCTTTTTACTCGATTATAGCACTACGTGTACGTTTCGATTCATGCATGACTGTGTCATATGAGGGCATTAGGTCTATGTTTACACATCTTTTAACTGAAATTCAAAGAGATCTTAAGTTACTGACGAATAGTGACAATAGTAATCGCTTTATTCCAAACAACATGTGTTGATAGATTACGTAATTTTCAGCAGGTAATATTTCAACAATACGCTTCCCGCACAATAACTTAAAAGAAATAATTTCTCCTTCTTAATACTGTTAATAATAACAGTACCAAAAGCATTAATATGCAACAGATAGCTGGTACTACATTAGCGTCTGGTTTGAACTCGGGAATGAACACAAAATCGAGTGTAATTTTAATGATGGTAATCCAGTCAACCATTACGAAAATCTTGATTTCTATCCGGTGTAACGTTTTTTTCTTTATTTTGTTCTTAGCTTGAGAAACAACGGTTGTAAAACATTTTAAAAAGGTGCAAGAGTACATGATTCATCTGGAAGACATGTTTAAAAGATTAAAACAAACTAAAGGGAAGATTTGATCGAATAGTATGATAAATATCGGGCGCTAAGTAAAAGTTGACATTAGACATAGTTTGTATTTGGATAAGTACAACGTGTTTAAAATGAAATAATTCTAACATTTCGTACAAAGGTCTGGTCCGAACTTCTTCCCTAAAAAAGCGTTTGCCAAGAGAATTAACAGTCTTTGAACTCAGTCCTGAGTAAATCTGTAGGTGAATAGTGCTGAAGATTCCTAAACCGGGATAAAGAGACTTTCCTGTGCTCCGTAGATTCCAGTGGTTTACTAAATGACATCAATATGTAATGATAACTACTTTGTTATTTATGCGCTTCTGAATTCCAAGATGCTATATACAGGTATTTTTGATCAAGACAATAATATAATTATCATGTACACCAAATTTAGAAATACTCTCTATTATATCAACTGGAATTTCTTATACTACGGTAAACAAAAGTGCATTTAACTAAGTAAAATATGAGAAGAGATATCTTCCAATACTACTGATTACATTCATCTTTCTGAGAAGAATATTTTTTCAAGTGAATCCTTATTGAAACTGTGTTGTAATGATCACATCAGAACAGTAAGTTATCACTTGTGAGGCGACACTCTTTTAAACCAATTAGAAAATATGATTCAGTGATCAAAGTACTCTACTTTTAACCGTTATTTTTAAAGTTTGCATTCATTCTACTGACTTCACTTTGTTTATCCAGTTAGTATTTTTAGCCTTCGCATAGGACATGTGAAGTTGATAGCTTAGCACAGTAACATATGAGTGCTGAAAAGTTTGGATAGTTCGTCGTCAGCTGAGAAGTCATCTTCAGGAATCAAAAAGCGTATTATCTTACTTTACATGAAGAATGTCTCCGAGATCACAACTAGATTATTGAAGCCTTTTCGAATCACTGTAGCTGACAAGCCCCCAAAATCTCTTCGCTCTCTGTAAAGTAGACCGAAAGATGCAATCGCTAACGAAGACAAAGCAAACATTATCTATAAAATACACTGCAGAAACTGCGAAAAACACTACATTGGACAGAGTGGTCACCCTCTTCGTATCCGTCTACATAAACATCAACTAGCAGCGAAAAGTCATGACATATGTTCGCTCATATCAATTCATACGGACAACTATGGATATGAATTCGACTGAAGAAATGTGAGAAATTCTGGAGAGAGGAAATAGAAAGAATTCAAGAGAATTTTTGGAACCTTAGCCTTCAGATCAGTCACCGATCAACAATCTACCAATCAATAAGAAACAACAAGGAGTTTAGAGTTCACGCCATCAGGACAACCAGTCGAAACAAATTTGAGGACAATGTCAAGACTTCAGTAGAAACAACCGATCACATACAAGGCCATCAGGACAAGCTACTAAGCCACTTGTAGAGAAAACCCCATAGCTCACTTCTTTCTGAAGTTTATGCTGATAATGTTGTCTAAAATGGTAATCAAAGCCCCCACTAGTAAATCATTCAGCTCAAAGAACACAACATAATCAAAATCATCCTCCAGAACCTCAAATATTCTCCTTCATCGTAAAGTATTCTCACTACATTTTAGTATTATTACAACCACTGACAACTAACATAACACTCTATAAAACTATCCACTGATATGAAATGTCTTTCATGTATACACATTTAGAATGAAATAGATATTTTAAATGAAACTGACTCGATATACAAGTACCAATTAATCTGCTTCATATAACGCTCACTACGTGTCCACTAAAGGATAACAACTTTGTCTTCTCTCGATATTCTTATTTTTATAGTTCCTGAAAAATACTTGATTTCCTAAGGCTAAAAACATAAGAAATGTATTACATAAGTTTGTATTTACACGCTTGATTGTTGTTTGTTTTATTTCATCTCAGATATTTTCTAGATTAAGAAAGTCAAATGACGGTGTACCTGTAAGAACTGCTCCCGTCGACTTACCCTTGGAACATCCATCTGAGTATCCACCGCTGTCATCTAAAATGGTACTGGAATCAGTTCCGGATCGTTTAAGCGACTCAAAACAATCAATTAATCGAAAAATGACTACAATCGTAAGTATCATTGTTATATATATATATATATATATATATATATATATATATATATATATATGAGTATGTGTACGATTGTAAAGAAGCTATAGGTTTTAATGACTATTCTTTACTTTGGAAGGATGTATTTCAAATGCATGGAAATTCTAGATTGTCACACGCCGATCCAATAAGTGAACGGCTACTTGCTCACTCCGAAACAAGAATATACTAGTCTTGACCAGATAAAAATACTCCAAATCTCAACTTGATGACTTACAGTGGGATTCAGGATGTGCGTTACGTCCTATTTGGGACTCATCAGCTGGATGTACATGCATCCCATTTAGTGGTTTTGTTCTGACTGAGATTCGAACCTATTACCTATTCCTTCAAACGCCATTATCGTTATCCACTAGGTCACTGGAACTACCACTTGTACAATTGGTATCATTTCCTGTTGTTTCATCTTCATTTATCAATCAAAATCTGATTCCTAACTGAAAAAAATATGCTCAAACAACTTGACAGTAATCCATTCAATCTTAGCACCATTCAGTTGAAATCCATGATTTCAAGTCACTAATATACGGTAAATACCAAATTATAGAGGAACGACTTTAACGAACAAATCTGTTTTCGGTGATATCAAGCTATGATTCTTCAAATTATTCTTCTTAGTTTATTTCAACCAGCTCTCATAAACACCTTCCTATTGTCTTATCCAACTATAACCTCATGATATTACCTACTCTGTATACTCGTTTAGATAATCAGTTATTTTGAATTGGGTCCCAGTAATAATTGATTCTATCATTAACCTTCACATATAAAACTTTTCTGAATAGACTTCCTCATTTGTATAGTATTAATGACAAACTGATAAGCGAAATCTTAATACTTTTGACGTATAGTTTCTCAATATGTACACATAACTGTAGTACCTGGAGAAAAAGTTATCTAGAAGAATATTCTTTATTCACTCATTGTTATTTTGGATCTAATCGATCAACATCCTATGCGAACATCTTGATGTTGACTGATCACTACTCATTATGTTGTAATTTACTTGGTGATGGCTGGCAGTGAGGTAGATCAATTCGATTTAGAATAATGACCGAAAAATTACAAACATTAACAAACAGTAGTAACTGATAACCGTTGCACAAGAAAGAGGTGGTTCTCATACCTCAGTTAATTGCGTTTTGGCGTTTCAAGCGGTTAATACTGGTTCAGAGTCTCGCTGGGCAACGCGATCATTCATTGGGGTGCTGATGCATCCAGCTGACGACTCTCAAATAGGACGAAACACGGGTCTTAGATTCCACTACTAACCACCACCAAGTAGGTAACAATATATAAAAAGTATCGAAAAAAGTATGGATGATAGTGTAAACAAACGATTTGGATAAAATAGGCTGAAGTTGAAAGCACCAAATGAAAAATATAAATTACAGTAGGTAAACATTTTTTTCCAACGGAGAATGGAATGACAAATGAGTATGTTCAGCCTCTGCAATCTCTATGACTTACAGACCTATGAGCAGACGACTAACAAGCAAATGCACAAGGTAGTTGGTGATATCAATATTTTTTATTGTAAAACTCAAAGTAATGTCTTAAGCAACACAATTTTTATAAAATAACATTTTTCTATGGATGGACTTTTGTGCTTTTAAGTGACACTAACTGATCCGTTATTGAGTCAGGTAGATACTCAACTGTTATGTGAAGATTCTTAATCACCTGATATAAATAGACTGCTCACAAGGCAGAATACAACTTCACTGTTACAATACCATATTAAAAAGACTTCAGACGAATTGACAGAGATTTATTTCAGTCAGTGGACAGATACAGTTTATAATTATTGTTTTATTATTTGTCCCTTGGGGTCCTAGTCGAACATAGAGCTTCAGTAGCACGTGTCCATCCCACTTTCTTCTCTGAAATCTTTTGAACCTGGCTCAAGCACTACCCACAAGCTCTCATTTCTTCCTCATACCATCTCCTCTATGTCACCCCAGCCTCGAAAGCCTAACTTGCCATTTCCCATCTGGGTTCCACTCGAGTGCCTGGCCTGATGCATGATATCTCCGAATGGTCTTCTGAGTGCATGCCTAATCCATTTCTACTTCCTTCTGCATATTTATATAGCGATAGGTTCTTGGTTGGTTAGTTGCAAGAGTTCTTTGTTGCTTATTCTTTCTGGCCAGGACAGATACAGTAGGAGAAAAATATTGTGTAAGTAAAGACTCTGAAATGTAAAGTTCATTAGGCTTTTCATACACCTTGAGATCGGTATCTGTGTTCGTTAAGTAGTCTTTTACACATATACTTAAAGAAACACTTAATTCATATCCATGCAAATGAAATAATAAACACTGATGACCTCGAAAAGTAACTTTCATCAGATAGAATAAGGCACATTTAGTGTATTTCACTGAGTTCTAATCAGCTGAATGTAACCTGAATGAATGAATATCATGCATTTGGTAGTAGTATTCTATCACATAAGACCTTAGGATGTCAGTCGACATCTTGAAAACAAGGTATTGTCACCCGAAATAGATATAACACCCATGAGATTAATTGGTACATTTTCAAAAGTCCAAATAGGCAATCGCCTCTCGAATATAGATGCTACTACAGGTGGATGTGAATTTCTGAGAATATCTTAATTTATATACTTGCTAAAACTATTTAAATTGATTTTCTCCTCTACCTTAAGATTTCTTGTAATTGAATTTGGAGTTTGTGGGGATTTAGTTATCTTTCAATTTGGTATTCATCATAGACTGATATCAGTTGGAGGAACATTAAAAACCTGTGAGCACTGGATAGCCGTTTCGTCCTTGTGTGCGACTCAGCAGTGCCCACCCATCACTTCGATAAGGATCGAACCCAGAACCTTCAGGTTCCATGGCCAGCACGTTACCATTGAGAGACTGGGTAGGAATCGAATGATCCATATTTCCAACTTTTGTCAGTTCACAACATAGCGCAACTATCGCCCAATATCATCGTTGAGTATTTGTCCTCATAACCCCCAGATTTACCCCACTGGTTATGACTTCTCATTGAAACTTCGAGAATGACCTCTTGAAGCTAGTCACACCAATGAGCACTAGATCAACTGAATTTAGGATTTGTGCGGATTTAGTAATTATTCTAAAAACCCCAGGCCTTACACTATATTTGGTTAAAAGAACTATAAAACCTGAGATATATTGTGAAACTTGTATCTTTTCTATGATCTAATATGCAGTGCTAACTAATTAGGAAAGTGAGTTAATATTCACTGTTCTGGGGTCGATATAAAGTATTTTCTTAGGGAGATTCTTATCTCTGTATGAAATAGCCTTTATCTATGTTCCTTGATGATACTATTTTGACTAGTTAAAACTAATACTGACAAACATTTTAAATGTACACAGTGTGAATGATATCAGTTGCTCATTTTCATAATACTGAGTTCTGCTTTGTACAGTCGACTTCCTCGAGGTATCAGGTAAAGATGTAAACTACATCAGACTGGCTACCACTTGTTCGAGTACATTTTAATTTATTTCAGTTAACATTGAAGTATGAATAACATTTGTCCTAGATCAGTTGATATAAAACCCTGTTTGAGATCCGGAAGTTATCAGTTCAAATTCTATGGTAACTATGGTTTCCTGACAATTTCAGTAATCATCCCAAAGTATCTGAACAGCACTGAAGTAGCTGTTACTTAACGTTTTTGCAGTTTTTTCGTGCTTTATTCCTCTACTCTGCACAGGAGCAAAAGGTTTGTTTGACACCATCTATGGTGGCAGCATGAAGTCCGATTGTCTACAAGGTATGAGTGTATTGCGCAGCAGTTTGCTGTTCTACTATATGGCTGAGAAACATGATCATTTAAGGTGGGGAACATGAGAAAACTTCAGGTATTCAACCACAGTTACCTTAATAGCACACTTTGTGTTTCATGGAACCGTCTCGTTATTAACGTATAAGTTAATCGTAGATTTCTAAGCAGAAGAGGTGAGTCACTTGATAAGGTTGTAAACTTTCATCGACACCTGTAGCTGAGAAATATGTTTCGTACGACTATTCATGGTCTAACACATCACTCGGTGTTAACTGAAATATATTTATTCCTGAAGAGGGTTAAAGCTGCTCAGGTTAAAATGTAGTATCAGTCAATAATGTTTTTGAATATAGGTCTGAATCGTTAAAAGTAATGTAGACTTCTTTCTCAATCGGTAGTTGGAGACTCTAGGTGATATGACCCAGAATAGATCTCAGTAGTACAGACAAACCCAAATATTATCTTCATCTTAATCGTCATACCGAATTTTGTTAGTCTTATCCCTTCTTCGTCTATTTATTCGGCATTCTTCTATTTTTGGTTGTTTTCCTTCTTATTTCTCTATCTTCCATGTTGTTGCTTTTTACTCTGATGTGCTGATCTGAAGTGTGGCAACTTGGACCGTTACGCAGTAATGTCAAGTCTTATGTTAACATTGATTGACTGCATCACAAGCTTCAGCAGTTAGGGATCAAGTTATTTTTTCTATCTCTCTACCATTACCATTGGTTTATTGAATTCACCTGTTCAATAGTGTTATATCATACCTCTAGGATGTGCACTTCTTTTTTATTTTTAGAGTTGTTACAATGGTCGTGTACGATGTGTTCCAATTACTTGTGATTTGGGCAAATTATCTTATAAAGCTGGACCAATTACACTTGAATTTATTGCTAGACTCTGGGATAATACAATGCGTGAAGTTAGTTTTATATCTTGTTGATACCAAATGTTCAAATTTTTAACTGCATATATTGTTTATTTTTTCAGATGTGACCTCCTCTTCAAATACCGTATCATAATAAAAACTTCCAATAGGTTACACTATTATAACCCTTCCCCCATTGGATAGCAGCCTGGTATTTTAGGGTGAAGCGTTCTAATTCCGTTTATCATTTATAACACTATCACTGATTGGGATTGAGATAAATAGGGCTGAAGAGTTTCAAATAGGCTGAAAAGCGCATCCTATAATCTACTGTAGGTAACTATCGAGAAATAGCAATATGTGGTTAAAGCTAACGTTGTCCATACGAAAAGTCAATATACCAACGTGAACTGGACAATTTCGTCATAAAAAAGGAAACAGATGAGATTTTCTCTCTAGTGGTAATGGATGCATTTAAGATGAAAATGTCAGTAAGCTGAGTAGTTTTACATGCCTGTTCGTTCACTGTCTTGATGAGTTAGAACTGTACACTTTTAAATGGTTTCAGAAGAAATTAAAATATCTCTTCAATACCCCAAGATTCTCAATGAATGTTCGAATGGTGTCAATTTGTGTTGAATACAGACTTAAAAAACAATGAAACAGATCAGGATAGACCCTATTACTGAAAGATTTTTCTTTCAGCTAACAATTTAATTTCACTTTTCATTTCGACTGTCTGAGATAGCCGTAGTTTGGCAGACTAGTATTTATACTGAGTGATGGTTAAAGGTGAAGTGAAAATTTCAACCGTAACCAGTTTCGAACCAGAGACAATCGGGTTTCCGGCTCGATGCTCTACGAACTGAGCTACGAGATTATCTGCAAACAGATAGATGGGGGCATTGACGATGATAAACCATACTGAAAGCGAATATACTTCACTCGGATATTAAAAATGAAATTTAGATAAAAGTGTAATACATTTGCACTGAAATGGACAAACTATGACTTATCAGTCTGTCCTTCTACCAGATAAGATGGGAACAGGATCCAACTAGGTTTCAGTACCACTTTAAGCATAACTTTTTTCTACCAGTTTCTTTTAGAATGACTTGCATATGAATCACACGAGTTTATCACTCATGTTCTCTTACTGCAAGTAGTTTGTCATTAAATCCAAACCTTGGCTCGAATCCTGTCGTGCTCCAGATTTTCATTTCACCATTAATCATCTTCCAGTATCAATTCAAGTCTGCTAAAGCCTGGCTATCTTAGATAATCATACTGGTAATCTAGAATATCCCTGATTAGCAGATTTTGTACTTATGGTGGTATGAAAAACCGCTGTATATATAATACACTAATGGAGAAAGAAAAAAACGCAGAATATGAGAATACAATGTCGAGTTAGACATACTATACCTTATGAACATCTCAGTTTACTTTCTCTTTTCATTCAGGTGATCACTTCACATAAATAACTTTTTATAACTATGTGAATTACTTAATTTATTTAGCTTCTACCCGACAAAATTTTCCCTCTAAATGGTTATGATACAAGATTTTAATTGACCGCCCACAGTTATCCTTATAGCTTAGACGAACAATTGACGACTTTATGAAGTGATCTTATGTCTTGGCTTAGTTACTTTAAAAATTCCCACTTATTACTCAGACTCTAGATGATATTACAAATCTGGGTGAACAACAGTTGAGTGTATATGTATGGTATGTCTTTCAGTCACTGCACTTCATGCAGGTGCACGAACTTGCTTTACAACTGACTTCCGTCATCTGAAAATCTATACTTAACATTGAGATTACACTCAAGGTGATCCACCACTAAGCAGAGGATTTTTCGAGGGTATCGCTATTCCTCACAGATTATCCACTTTCAACCGTCTATAACTAATTTTTGATTAATAGTATGCAACGCATAACTTTTAACCTTATCAATAATGGTGTTAAATGGGCTCAACTTTGTCCTCAGAGTATTTTTAGTTTCAAAAATGTGATGGAACTAAACAGTTGGGTTTTACATGATCTTTATATTATTAGAAAAAAGAGTATGATCCTTCGGACAAGTGTTCATTTGCTATTTTCTTATTAACTGATGAGAAGGAAAGTTTCTCCGAACCGAATAAAGTGAAGCTCAACACTAATAAACTATTTCAAGAATTAAAACCCCAAATCAGTAGCTCAGTTTAGTTCAAACTCAAACCTAAGTCTTACTTACCTTCAAAATTCTACGGTCTGCCCAAGATTCACAAACATTCCGTTCCATTGAGACCAATCGTGAACTTCACCAATATACAACTTCTCTAAATATCTGGTTTCAATAGTAAAACCCCTATGAAAGCACTCAGAATACACAATATAAGGAACTCACTTAACGTTGAATCCAAAATTTTCTCACTTAAAATTGAGGAAGATGCAATTATGATAAGCTATAACATCAATTCTTTACATACTAGTATTCCAAGTAGTGGTAGCCTGGGCATTATTTCTAATTAATCAGACTCAGACACGTCACTGACAGAAAGATATCCACTGAATACTAGTGGAATCATCAAGGCCCTAAAATTTAGCTTAGAGATTACTCCCCCTTTAAAGGAAAACCATACAGGTAAGCTGATGATTTTGCTATGGGTTCACCTGTTTCACCTATCTTAACTAATCTATTTATGAGTAAATTTGAAGAAAGTATCTTCACACACGAAAGCCAAAAATTCAGCCTAAGTTTACTGATGATACATTCATAATTTAAAAACGTGACATGTGCCAAGTATCCTTAGATCAGCTGCATTCTAGATCACCCAATATCAAGTTCAGCTGAGAAAAAGAAACGGATGGTGATAACCTGCCTTTTCTTGACTATCTTGTTAAACGGAAAGAAAATAGACACTTAGGTATAACGATTTTCAGGAAAGCAACATATTCGAATAAATATTTCGATTTCAATTCATCACATTCAATTAGTGCGAGAGTTTTTGTCTTTTAAGGAGACCATACGCTCTCATAACGGATGAAAAAACAGCGTTAAAGAATTAAAATATATGAACAAGATAGTCAAACTGAATAATTGTCTAGTGAAATCCATTTGCAAAATCGAAAATAACGTTAAATTAGATCGTAAAACTACTTCTAAACCATTGACCTCAACAACAGTTATCTGATACAGATCACACATACACACTGGATGAAATTAGGAGAAAGCTCAACAAGAGGGAATATCAGAGTGTTCTATAGAACATCGAATACATTGTAGAGCAACTTAATCCATTTGAAGGACAAGATCCCTTTAGATTCACAATCTAATTGTGTTTATGTAATAAAATACTCGAAGGCTTTCACCAACTGGTGTCATTTCGCCTCTCCAATTCCATCGAGGAATAATTTTGTTTTCATTTTTTATATTTTGTTTGTGCTTTGAAGTTTCTTTAGCGGTTAGATTTGTTTTACGGGGTAGGGGTAGGGTTGCTAGCCGTATGCCCAACCTTCCCTGTTTACCCGGGCTTAGGACCGGCTATTAACTAGTGAACTAGTTAACCAGGCGAGAAGACAGAGGTGATGAAGATACCGCACCAACAACAAACTCCAATCACCGTCAACGGCAGAAACTTAAAGGAAGTAACCTCCTTCACCTATCTAGGCAGCACTGTTTCAACTACAGGCCGCATGGGCACAGACGAGGATGTCAAAGTCAGAATCGGAAAAGCAAGACAGGCCTTCATTAGCCTGTAACCAGTGTGGAGATCCACTTCACTGCACTCAGCATGTGGAACAAGATATGGATTTTCAACACCAACGCCAAGTCAGTGCTTCTGTATGGTTCAGAGACCTGGCGCGTCACGAAAGGGATTTCCAATAAACTACGGTTACTCGATGCTGAAGATTAGATGGCCAGAATAATAAGAATAAGCAACAAGGAGCTCTGGGAACGAACCAACCAAGAACCTATCACGCAACAAATATACAGGAGGAAGTGGAGATGGATTGGGCATGCACTGAGAAGGCGGACTGGGGACATCACGCGTCAGGCCCTGGAGTGGAATCCCCATGGGAAGCGACGAGTTGGTCGTCCGAGACGAGGTGACATGGAGGAGGTCATGCGAGGAAGAAATGAGAGCTTGTGGGCTGTCGTGGAGTCAGGTTCAAAAGATCTCAGAGAACAGAGGTCACTGGAGACGTACTACTGAAGCCCTATGTTCCACTAGAAACCCAAGGGACTAATAATAAAAAATAATAATAAAATACTCAGACTACTATGCAGTACACATAGGATAAACTTTCCATGAAATCATAAATTCGAAAAAATGAACACCGAACAACTCCCACCAGACTGTCTTAGAAATCCACTATAGATGAAAAAACTTGAAAACACTTCGTCTTTAGCTTTACATCCTATAGTTTCTCAGGTCAAAAAGTCGATTTTGACAATATCGAAATTATTCAGAAAGGCTTTAGAAATTATAAAGAATGTCTCATAACAGAATTTCTTGACATAAAGTGGAATCAAAATTACCTAAAGGGGGAATGAGAGAATAAAACATAATTTAACCCGACCTCAACCCACCCCCACATACTGATATAACCAACACACATGTGCATACAAATCTTAATCTGTAATTCATAAATTCTTTATACACAATGCGCTACATATAGAGATATCATCTTTGTTAATCAACTTGATAAAAACATTATTTATGCAGTAGAATATATATCGAGTTGAATTTTGAGGGAGTTGTGGGGATTTGAAAAGATTTCAAGTTGTTATTCATCGTAGACTGATATCAGTTGGAGGAACAAAGGAGACCTGGAAGCACTGGGAAGCTGTTTCGTCCTAGTATGAGACTCCTGAGCAGTGTGCACTCACGACCCCGCCAGGGATCGAACCCGCGGAATATGGATTATTCGATTCTGACCCAGTGGCTCAACGGTAACGTGCTGGCCACGGAAACTGAAGGTCGCGGGTTCGATCCCTGGGGGGGTCGTGGGTGCACACTGCTGAGAAGTCTCATACTAGGAGGAAACAGCTGTCCAGTGCTCCC